AATTTTATAAACTTAGAAGGTGTAAAACCAGAAAAGGGTCAGGGAAGATCACCATCCCTCATTTTAGTTGTTACTTTATACAGTTTATGAAACTTTAATGATATTCTTTTTCCTTCATCCATTGACGCTTCAGATGAAGTGAAGTCTCTATTGATCTAGTAACTAAGTATATGTTAAGATCACCTACAGAGAGAGAGAGAGAGAGCTGGAGATTATTTATACACAGACGCTTTGAACACCACCTTCAATCTTACTGAACGGTCTAGTAGACTTCCATTGTGCAGTTTGGATTGGCAGGACAGACACAAATAAGGTAAAAAAATTCACCACTGAAACAGTTATTAAAGTAAGTTGTTTTTAAGTATTTGTTTACCTTTATAATACAAAAGGTTGTGTAAGTTTGTGGGAATGTTTTAGGGTTGGAATAAAATTCAGAATATATATATATATATATATATATATATATATATATATATATATATATATATATATATATATATATATATATATATATATAGTTCCTGAATTTTATATATTCCTTGAATATTTTATTGCAGTACAGAATGCTTACGGTATTTCATTTACCTAAGAAAGATAAGATTGTCAGCGATAGAAAATTACAAAGTATACATCATTTAATGGCATTTTAGCATATGTAATTGTTTATTCAGTTGTCTTGAATCAATACATTAAATTTTTTGATCAATTATTAGTGAGTAAAAGATTTACTTTGGAGTAAATGTGCCAATCAACTGAGGTTAAACCATCTCCTTACTGTTCTTGGAAGACCAGAACTTTTTATAGGTATGTAAAGTTTTACTTCTCTCGTACAAAACATACTGAATGTACTAATACTTTATCATACCTATAAATGCGTGTAATCAGAATTATCACGAATTATTAAATTTTATTAGAATAGCATGTGTACTTTAATCCCTCTTCAAGGCAAATATCTAATCTCACCTCAGGTCGACTTAAAGATTTCACATTCTATTTGATTATGAATCGTGAAATTTGAGGATTTTTAGGATAAGATATTAATTCAAAATTATTGACCTGGATAAACGTGTCCATAGAAACGTTGATTAATCTCCCTCTGAAATCCTGTGTCTGATTTATGAAGTTAAAAATGATGTTGCGGTGTATACATAATTGTTAATTTAACAAGTTATATCGAATATAACATTTTGATGTTCCTGTGTACAGCTTTCGAACTATAGTGCTTCGAGTCATCTTGGTTGGAGACCATACTTTAATTTTAATATAAAAATAATAAAATATCAATTCATCAAATGTGCTGTAATTTTGATTTCTTTCAGGCTTTTTTATTTTGTCTCTTTCGTAATATCCAAGTTACACATTTTACCCCAGTATATGTTTAGTAAACATTTAGACATTACACAAGTTTGATAAAATCAGTACAACCATGGTAATATACTATATACCAATATATTTATCATGGCTTGAGAATAGAAAACATAATTCGTCTACAAACCATGGGAGATCTTATAGATAAATGTATAAATAATTTATTCATATATATTATCTAACTATTTATCGATATTTAGGCAAAAGTTCTAAAAGTGGAAAGTTTCATTTTTTTTAAATTAAACATTTAAAAAATCTATTGAAAATAATTGCTTCTCTGCAAACATAAACCGAAAAAGATAAAATTATTACATACCTAAGGCAAAAACTATAATAAGACTTCAGTAATTATATCTCTGTGATCTTTGGAGACCAATTCCTCCAACAATCTGTTAGAATTCCCATGGTCACACATTGTTTTCCTTTATTAGCCGATTCGTTCTCATATTCATATGAATCAGAATTTATATAAAAACTTTTACATGAGAAGAAGAAAATACTTGCCGTGGCCTTAATATTCGACATTCAGACGTTTCATCAATTAACAATAGTCACTTCCATTTATATGTCAACTCGATATGTCCGTGTGAAGTCGAAATAAAAGACACCACAGAGTCTGCCACATCCGTTTTATATTTGGATGTTTTACTGACGACAAATGATGAGGGTCAATTAACATTAATTACTAAACTGTATGACAAACGAGATGGCTTCAGCTTTTCCATCGTTAGCTTTCCTTATGTAGTAATATTCTACTATCACCTGCATATGATTTTTATATCTCCAAACTTATGCAATACTCATGGGCATGCTCTGAGAACGATCAATTTTTTGGCCAAAACAGTCTAGTGACAAAGAAGTTGATGATACAGGGATTTCAACAACCTAGCTTAAAATCAGCATTTCGCAAATTCTATGGTCGTTATAATAATTTTTTTTGCAAACACAACCTGTTGTTGGGTCGAATTTTGACTTAACTTCATAATTATTTTCATACTAATTTTAACTACGGATTATTCCGTTTACCTGATCAGTACAGATGGATCACGGCAGGTGTGATCGGTCGACAGGCTTACTCCTCTAGGTACCTGTCTCCTACTCTGAGGTTTATGAAACTGATCTCCTTTTATCTTCATCTTATTTATTGAATACAATTTTATCAAGATTCGTATGAATTACCTAATATAGAAAGATTAAAGGGGTTAATGTGAAGAGACAACCTTAATATTAAGAGAGACAATACATCAAGCAGTGGGAATTTATGAAAATTTATATATACATATATACACTGCTGTTCTCTCCGCTTGAATAAGTGTTACTATCACGCATTTCCAGCATTAATTTAGATATCCTTAATCAACAATTCCATCGTGTCCGACTCTAATGACATCTGATATATCTCCTCTTACATTGCAGGAGAAAAGTCCATTTCCTTATTGTCAGCAATGGGTTGCAGTTCGTCCAGTGTGTCGATACCAGTACACAGACTTAAAAGCAATAAAGATGGCTGTACAACAGAGATCATTGACAACTGGGACTATTTTGATGATAAAAAATATTACCCAGATATAACGGACATGTCGGGGCATCCTGTAACAAATAAGGCATCAAAGTCTGAAAATGTAACTAACGAGAGGAGGGAAGCAGAGGCAACTAACTCTGGGTTAGAATTAAAGGTCTTAAAACAAGGTCAAAATCAAAGGTCAACCAGAAAGTCAAAATCCCAACAGATCAGTGGCACTCAGTTGACTTTACAGGAAGTTGATGAGATTGAATGATGTTGTTTACTTTAAATATATATTATAATAGAAAGGTTGCTATTTATATTCGTAAACTTGATTCATATTCTAAGTATTGTGATTATATTCGATAATTGTTATTCATATTCGTAAACTTGTTATTAATATGCGAAATACGTGTATTGTGATTTATATTCTAAGAATTTGTTAACTTGAGATTTACACTGTAAATTTAGGTTCATAATTGTTATTCATATTCGTAAACGTGTTATTAATAAGCAAAATAGTGAGATTTATACTCGAAGAATTTGTACTTTGTTATTGATTTTCTAAATCTTGTGAATTATGTTTAATACATGTTATTAATGTTCTTTAACTTGTTATTTATATGCAAGACGTGTTAATATTTAAAAAAAATACGGTATCATAAAAATATCTACAGGGATATAAATACATGTACGGGTTAACAGTGTGATTACTGATCATATCTACTACAAAGCGGCTTTAGGGAAGTTCTGATCACGTGTCAACCTTATTTATATCCCGATATTTTACAACGATACCTTATAACTTATGTTGATTTTAACGAATTTTTTGCATATTTTAGTTTTCAACTTTTTTCCAAACATAAACGGTATAAATTGAATATTTTGAACACTTATGACAACAATGTAAAACTTCGTTAACTGATTATGCTTTTTCAATGAATTGTGGTCATGTAAGAAACCTATATTTATGCGGTGACTAACACATTGCTCGAACATTTTTTTATCATTTAAGATTGATTCAAATTAGCCACAAAAAATAAAAGCATTTTAGAGTATTTTCACAAAAAAGACCTCAATGTTTGTTGATTTGGTCCCCCGAGAACAGACAAATCAAAGGGGATGGGATGTTAATCTAAACAACATGAGGAAGCTTCCACATAATTTTATCTTTTATGCATCTGTGAATTATAAATGACACTGTCTTAACATTTTTGTTTTATTTATTTCACCTTGAAAAAGGGAATAGGCCATCAAACAACTTGGCAAAATCAAAATGGAAATATGTTGAATAGGAAAGAAAAGTCCTGATAATTACAACAATTACCAATATTTTAATTATACTAAATACAAGTACATACACGTTATACATTACAGATTTATTTAACATAAATAACTTCATTTTAAGAGTTAAATTATAAAAAAAAAATATCACAGAAGAAAACCTTTCTTGGAACACTGCTGAAGCATAAAACAGGTATTCAAACAATGTTTGTACAACCAAACTTCTATACACTATCTTTTATTTAAGTAAATTACTATCAAGAAATTTCAAGAGCAATTCCAATATACCGGTACATACATTTTTAAAACAGAGGATACTCAATGTTTTGTAGTTGGATATGGAATTTATTTCATCAATGAGACAGGATTTTTTAATATATTTTAAATTTTTCAATTTAATATTTTTACAAGTGCAAAGCACAAGTGAAAAAAAAAATCCTGTCTCACAAGTGAACATTTTGTTTGGTTTTTCTTTTTTGTTATGCAGTTTAATAGGCTATGACATCATAGCTGAGCAGTTGAGAGACGTAATATCTAAGCAAAATATAGACTGAAAAATGTAAACTTGGATATTAACAATTTGGAGAAACTTTGGCAGTTTTAATCATACATGTAAGAATGGTTTATTTACTCTTGCTATTTATAGAAAAAAATTTCTTTATTATAACACTTTCCTGAAGGGAAGAAAAATCTGGAGTTCAGTCATGATTTTTATATCTTCACAGTGAAAATATTTCAATATAGGAAATGTAATAAATATTGATTTATTGAACAGAAAAAATTTCAGTGTATATTACAGTTCAAGATAGAGAGATAGAGGATTAATTTTTATTATTTACCGAAACTCTTCGAATTTTTGTTTCAATTTCATACTTTCTACATGTAAATGTGTAAATATATAGATTCCAGATTGTATTTTCAAATAATTTGAAATATATAACTATACATAAATTACAAAGTTATAAAACTAAAATAATTTACATGCCTATAAATATACTCATTAGAATTTACATCAACTACACTCATCAGTTCTCTTCTTCATAATCATCTTCATAATCATCCTCATCCTCATCGTCTTCAGTCATTTCCTCTGATATTGTAAGTTCTTCCTGAGAGGCAGAGACTAGATCCTCTTTTTCACTGAAGGCTACCACCTTTACAGCCCCATTAGGAGAGGCCACTGAGACATACCCACCTGGAGAGTGGGTGGGGCTCTGGTGGGGTGAACCCCCGGGGGTGAAGCCAGGTGAAGTCTGTGTGCTGTTCAGGGTGGTATTGATCATGAATTCAGATTTACAGAGTTGGTTAACAGCTGCTTCATTAATATCCTCCAACTCCTCAGACACTTCCTTCAAACAATCCTCTAATACTTGATCAGAAACTCTGTAAATCACAAAAAAGGTGATAGCACTTCTCTATAATATTTAAAATCAATCATAATTTCTAAATGAATTTTCATCAAATGAAGATGTTGTTTTCACATTATAATCAATGAAAGCTTGCTTACTCTTCTACTAATTTCCATGGATCAAATTTCCCCTGAATCTGGTGAGATGTTTTCCTCAAATGTCTCTCATATTTCTCCACATAACTGTGGATATTATCCACCACATTTTTAGCCAGAGTTATCTCCACTTTTTTACTGGTGTCTCCTATACTGGCACCCTCCTCCTCCTGTACAACTCTATTCTGTACAAACTTTGGTTCAGGTTTGAATTTTGTAAATATGATTGGCTGGTCTTCCTTGAACTCTTGTTGATACCTGTAATATAATGAAGTTTACCTCACTCTTGCACTACATACATATATGCTCTTCTCATGACAAACAAAAAAATTAAATTTACAAAAAATTCATTCTGAAATTGAAGAGCACTTTTATATAATTTTTCTGCCAAATACATACAAGTTCTTTTGGCCAATTATGCTAGGCCCACTGTTCCTGGTGATTTCCATGGCAACAGGTGCATGTGGCTTAGAAACTTGAGATAATGCTGAAAGATAATTTTTGTGTCACTGAATAACCATGTCCTCTGGTGTACATAATACCTCGTAAACCCCAAAACCTTCACTTAATTTTTATATTTACATTTTAAGCTTTAAGATGTATTTCTTGTGCCTAAATTGAATCAAACTCCATCAACAAGTACATTGTACATGTAATAACAATTAATGTTAATAGTATCTTTTAACTAAGTAAAACAAATTAACTTCTAGTACCAATGGCTACACATAAAAAGAATCTAGGCATGACAATATAATCTGGTAAACATAAAGTGACTGACCAGTTTGTCTTTTGGACCTCAGATTTGATCCTGCTTCCTCAAACTCCAGTGTGGCCCAGCGCCTTCTGATCTCAAACTGCTCTTGCTGAATGATAAAAGACCACATGAGAATATATGTAACTGAACGACACTCTATGAAATGGAAATCTTGCTTCTTTCACAAACTGATTGTTGACTTACTTCCTCAAAACCTTAACATTTTGTTATTATTCATTTCGGTTACACTTTTATTTTCATTGTTACATTGTTAAGACAAGAAAAGAAAAACATTTCAAGACACTGTAAGAAGAAATCTACAATAATGTACTTCTGATGTACACTTGAAGGCTACAGATGTTCTAAATACAAATGTTTTACCTGCACTGAATGTTTTAGAAAGTCTGCCACAATATAATAAAGTTAAATTTTGGCATCTCTAACATAGATATCTCAAATACCATGGATATGTTGAAGTGGTCTGAAGTCCCAACCACTTTTTCTTTATGTATTTTAACCTCAATATCTCGGATCCTCAAATATCTCAGCCCCATGAAGTTCCAGATAACAAGGTTTGACTGTGTGTTTATTTGACATACACCCACATACCTCCATCTGCTCTAGTCTCTGGAACACGTTCTCCAGAGTGGGGTTGTTTTGTAGTCTGATGGCTTCACACCCGGCTCGCTCGGACATTTCTAAATTCTCCAGTTCCTCGGCAGTGTCCCTGATGATGTCATTCAAAATCATCTCAGCGAGAACGTCTCCATGAGCTTCAACCTTCAAAGACAAGAACATCTATTTATAGCACCTTATCCAGATTTTCAATTTGAAACATAGAGAAATAATTCTAAACAATAAATTTAAAATACTTTAAAGTACATAGATCTCAATGCAGTGTTATGTATAGATATTTACAACAGTAATACATGTATATGTAACAAAAAAGCTGTATTTATAAGCTTGTTGTTGCTTTTTATATTGCTTGATACAAAATGTTTATGACTATGAAAGGTTCCCTTTACATTGTTGTATGCCTTGTCTGCTAACTTCTGTCTTGCAGAGACATCTTTTGTGGCTAACAAACGTTCCTGTCTGGCTGCCATTTTCTACAAATAACAGACTATGATTACTTTTCAACTGTAAAAAACAGAAAGTTACTAGCATTACAGGTGCATAGTTATTGTATACATAAAACAGAAAGTTACTGTGAATTACGATGACCCGAGTTATTGCAGATACAAGTACAAGAGGGACTGTATAAATCTGAGTAGCTCAGTCTTATAACATTAAATTTGAAAATAAACAGTTATAAAAATTGATTTTGTGTACCTCAGCCTGTTCCAACAATGGTTTCAGTCTCATTCTGATTGCCATCTCTGCCTCCGTTACTAAACCCTCTGGGGACCTGCTGAACTGACGTCTGTTATGGTTAAAAAAAGAAAGAAAGATATTTTACAAGCAGGATAAAAATATATTTTATAACAATAAATACACTTAAAAAGAAACTATATGTGATTTCTGTGATTTTAAACAACTGTAATGTCCTCACCTTTGTCTGGTGGGAGATCTTCCTCTGTTCTGTAACTCCATGGACTGCAAAAAGTTAGGTATCAAAATTATGAAGTTGTTATATTTAGTTCAAACATATGTTCATACTTGAAATGCCTGAATAGTAGAACATAAAAACTTGTTTACCAAACTATTTAAAATACTGTTCTTACATTGTAGAATTTCATTCATAGGAAAATTTTAACCATTTTATGGACATTATTTTCTCAGGTTTCATCAATCCTTTAAACAATGTAGTATATAAGTATAGTGTTAATATTCAGAATCTCAAAATCTGTCTTACCTGGTTCGGGCTAGAAAAGGCATCAAGGTAGAGGTTTCTGAAAAAAAAATTCTTATGTCTACAAATATGTACAAGAGATACAGAACACTGTACATCTCCAATGGAGATAAAATAATCATTTCCATCACAAACACTTAAAGAGTAAAGTCTTCAAGGTAGTAACTGAAAGTGAGAAGTGGTCATTTTTGTGGTTGTTTCATTCAAATTTGTCTTAGTATCACCCTAACATCATCAACTTTTTATCCTCCATAGCTGAAGAACAAAGTATAAATGAAATAGCAAAAGCTTACTGAATAACACTTTCATCTACGTCCTGTGACAAAATCTTTCGTCGGGCAGACTGTGGACTCTGAGACCGAGTTCTCCTCGTCTGAGTTGGAGTTTTACCTGCAGGTTTCCAGGCTCCATGTAAAGGACTATCTGGACTGATATTGTAACCTCTATAAAAAAATATTACAAACAAAACATTTAAACAATATCCTGAAATTTCACATGATCACAAATAAATCTTTTAGCTAGGTACCTTTACTGGATACCTACCTTGGGGACGGAGGAGCAGAAAACGACCTCTCTAAGACTGTTCCCTGTAAGTAAGGGGTGGTCACTTTGAGCTGGGAGGCCACGGTGGGGTCAGCATAATGTGTCTCTGGCACAGACTTGATCACAGGTTTCTGAGCCTTGTCTCGTTTAGCCTGAGCAAACAAAGGTAAATTCTATTAGTGCTTAAATTACAAATACAATTGTATGAGATAAGTTTTCTTCAATTTCATACCTTAATGGCAATAAAAAGAGAAATCCTATTTTTTGTTTCAAATTATATGAGTGACATTAGTCACTATAATTCCACTATATGATCTACACACTGAATTATTACATATGCTCTAACTTTGTATGAACAATTTACTTGTAATTTTCCTGGGATGATGAGGCTCTTTTTGGGTTTACTTATTGGAATCTCCCAGGCCATTCCAGCATTGCTAGTCTGTTTACCTCCCTCTGTAAGATCAGTGAGGCTCTTCTGTTTATCTCCCTGCATCAATGCTGCTATTCCGGCCTGTAGAGTTGCCCTCCTCTCTGGTGTCAGTGTTCTACCTACAGATGGCAGGCAGAACTTCAGTTATAGACATTCTAAGTTAAATTACAATGCAGGAAGGACATGAAGAGATCTATATCCTCCCTAAAGTTTTGTATTCTATAAGAGATATGTCCAACTAGGGATTTGCAAATAAAGGTATTCTGTAATTTAGTTTGTACAAATGCTTTATGACAAAATAATCAGAACACATAATTCTAACCTTGCTGTGCTCTTTTTGTAACTTTGGCTGGTTTCCTGGTGATCAAAACACCTATTTAACCAAAAATAAAAAACAAAAAAATCAAAAAAATCTACTGTTATGTTCATAACAAGTAGTACAAAATAATGACTTGATACACAATGTATTAGTTTTTATATGTTATCAGTCTACATGTCAGTATATTAGGAGGATGTACCTTTTCTAGCTCTGTTCTCTTTGCCTTTATGTGATACAAATGTTGGTTTGGTTTGATTGACAGGTTTGGGGACTTCAAATGGAGGCCGGGGAGGGGACTTCTGTCGAGAACCACCTTCTGCTTTACCAGAGGTCTGGACTTTTGCACACCAAGCCTTGTTCAACTCCTGCAAAAAAAGGCAAACAATGCTTAAAATTTTAGAACTACATGTAATCATCTTAATTTTATACTTCGAAAGTTCTTTTAAAAAATTCTTGCACTTAAATAACCTTCTTCCACTTAATAAAGTATTTCAATAACAATTTTCAAAATACTATATAATTGTAATATAAATACGCACATCTACTCTGTCCAGCATGGTCAGCAGATCTTGATGGACACTGGACTTGTCATCCACACTAAGCTGGGTGCTCAGAAGTGACATCTGTCTGATTAGGAGGGCTAACTCCTGGTAACTGCTGGGTAGTCCTCTCTGTAGATCTGTGAAGGGTAAGCTGTTTACAAATGACTGGACTGCTCTCACCGCTCCACGGTGGGCTGCGGCCAAACGTGCCATGATCTGGCTCTGTACATTTAATTAAACAAATGAAACTGCCCATTACTTGACATATTATTTCTGCAACTTTTCTTCTATGTTTTAACAATGAACTTTTTTTTTATCACTTCATGCTTATGAAAAGATAATATAGAATGATTGTCTAGATCACATCTCAGAACAACCACTTATTCCAGTGATATTTTATCATTCAATTCATTACCAAATTACTTTTTTTCTTCCAGAATAGAAATTCAAAACAAAACTTTCTCTTACTTTCTTAGTGTGCTTCAGTTTGTCTGGTTCCCCTCTGATTAGCTGGTTCTGAACCTCTCGTACCTGCTGTCTAAGAACATACAGCTGTCTCGCAGCTCGAGTTTGGATCTCTTCACTTCGAACCTGTTTCCTCTCACTGTCCTCCTCGTCTGGGAGATAACCCTTCTTCTTCTTAGACTTGTGTTGAAGAAAATCCATGGACTGCTCTGAATTCAAGAAAAAAAATGTATGCTAATATTTTTTTTTTAAATTACACCACAACATGAATACATTAGAAGCATGATGACAATGTATATACTCATACACCAAAATAGAAAGCCACATTTTTTTACCCTTTAATGTCCATTTTATTTTTGTTAATCTCTTGATTAAATTGTATTCCCAAATACGTGTATAAACAACATTTTTTTTCCTTATATAACTGGTACCGATAAACGGTACCATTCCCAATGCCAAAAAACGTTAGTTTTTCCCAGTTTTGAGACTAAAAATTCCCAATTCCACCGCCAAGCAACAGACTATGAAGACATCATATTTTACTGTACAAGTTGACTACTGTATATACTCGCTTATAGGTCGGTCCGCTTAAGTCAGTTGTATTTTTTAGGTTTATATTAGATGGATTGACCCGCTAAAATACCAGTCTTTTTATAACTCACCTATAAGTCGGACAAAGATTTTTGGACCAAAGTTTAACTCCCAAAAAACTGACTTATAGCTGAGTATATACAGTAATTGTTTCACTTCTGCTTAATTCGAAAGTAGAGATAAGTCGTAATATGCCGGGACCTATGGTGTAGACAGCGTAGTGTCCTACATTTTGAAAAACTGAAAGCTTGAAAATGTGACAACAAGGGACATTGATATGAAAAACAATAAATACTTATTGTTTATTCTTTAAAACACGAAATAATAGGTAATGAGGTTATAATAAACGCAAAATACGTTTCATTTGTTTAAATGACAGGAAGAAAATTCTTTGTTCTACTTCGATGCTATTTTTCCCAATTGAACCAGTATCAGACCCTTTCCCAATGGGTAGAAAAAAATCACTGATAAAATAAAGCAAGCTTTTGGTCCTTATGACACCTCAAACCTTTTAGCTAAGAGATACAGCTCATTAATTTTGTTTGGTGTTCACCTCTTTATATACTCTCATACAGGTTTAGAGCAAAACTAAATAGTTTGTATGTTACCCTTTGATACCCCTTGAATCTTTCAAAGAGAAGTCAATAAATAAAACATATATTTACCCCTCATTGCTCTCTGCTCAATGACCTGTATCTGCTGTAAATAAGATTCCATTTCTCGCTGAAGCCTTTCGATCTCTTTGGCTGGCTGGTCACTTGGAGGAAGCTTTCTTATTGGATAAATTTTTAAGTCTGTGTCTTTTGATGGTGGGGAATTCGATGAAACTAAATAATAATAATTTTAAAAAAGAAAAACATAATTTGATATCAAAATACTCCACTGTTGACCCAAATTGGTTGAATAACTGTTTTATTTTATCAAACCAAAATACAAAAATTTTAGCAAAAATCTTACATTAAATCCTATCTCATAACTCATAAGAGCTGAACTTCAAGCAAAACACTTACATCAATGCATGATTTACAAAAGTGAAATCTTAAGATGATACTCAAGAGATATTATATACCAGGAAAGTTTGGATCTGGTACCCTCCCCTCATACTTTGGTGCTCTGGGTGGGGTCTGTGTTCGAGTTTCTTTTGGTTGGCGATTCCTGTCATGCTCTCGTACTGTTAAAACTCGGTTTTCCTTTTTGGGATCACGCCTTCTTTGATTTTTGTTCCAAAATCTTTGCCCTGGAATTGTCCTTGTCCGAGATGATTTTGGTGATGGAGATCTACTTTTTCCTTTCAGTGCCTGCATTCTCTCTAATTCTCTCTGTTTTTTTATATCTCTCTGGGCCAGTTTCAATGCTATTTCCATTCTATCACTTGACAAGGAACTTGAATTAACCTCTGAAATAATTATAACACAAATAAATAATATTTATTAACAATTTGGAATTCATTCATTATTCAGTATATGTTTCTATTCAGTCTAAAGAAAGACAAATTGATAAAATGTAGTTTAAAATTTAGAGCGATAATTATAGAGTGGAAAAAATACTTAACAGAATGGACAAAGAAATTTTTACCTCGAGTGACGTGAGAAACATTTTGTCGCGGGATAAACACAGACGAAGCTTGTTGTACAACAGGTTTTTCTACGATAATTGCTCCAGGTCGATGGTGACGAAAGGCTAAATTTTCTGTGTATGTTGGGACACCAACGTTGAACTGTAGTTGGTTTTGTTGAAATGCCATAATAAGTCCTTATTACACGTACATGAAGTTAATTCATGTGAAAAAAGACGCACTGTCTCAACTATTCATTTATTCATGCGACCTGCTCCTCGCACAAGTATGAACATGCTGTTGTGAACAATATTCTCGAATGCGATCTCTTTGCGTACTGCCTGCGGTATTGTCTCAGGTGACTACACAATACAAAATCACAAATGCTCAATGTAAGCAAATGTTTTAGAGTGCCATATATTTCCCCCTGATAAAAGGAGAATATAAAGACAAAATCAAAATTTTGAATGTTTTGGTTATGACGGTGACCGCTTATGCTATTTACAAAAATATAATTGGGTATGTCGATCCCGATCAAAAATCTCTTAATTTGGGTGTCCTATTTGCTCAACAATAGTAAACCCCCCCCCCCCCCCCCACAAAAAAAAAGAGCAGTGTTCGATTCTAGTTGAAAAAAAGTTTGAAAATGTCGCCAGAGAGAGAGAGAGAATGAGAGGCTTTATTATCACGTGAATACTAATGTTAATTTTCTCTAAAATATTGTTTATGATAGATTTGAATTTCACATAATTATACATGTACATGTATTTAATGATACAGTCTTTTTTTTTTCTCTGTTTTTGAGAATGTGTTATGAACTTTGAAAATATTTCAAATAAACTAATACATTTCAAAATAAAGCTCTATCTTGGTCAAAGTTCAGTTTTGTTGTGGTGCTCATTGCATCTACCTACCTACCTACCTACCTACCTACCTAAACACTGGTATATTGCACAGACTTCTCCAGAAGTGAAATGCAATTCTAAAATGCTCTTTTGTACTCCTCTTTAGATACACCTTCAGTAAACTGATAAATTACGGATAAAAGTGATGCTTTGCAGTTATATATAGCGTCGTCCAGATAATGTGTTTAAAGGTCAGACGTTACGTTCCTCAATTTTTTCCAGATATTCCAGGAACCTGTCCTCAGATCTTAAATTTTTGGAACAGAAAAATCACAGGGTAATTCATAAAGATATTGAGAGTAAGCTATCTGATGGATAGCAACAAAGCCCTATATACAGACAAAACCGGCCATTAATTTGGAATTAACGCCCGAGGCATTATCCACGTGGAGGTCTCTGATAACAGTTTTAGAACATCTGATTTCGTATTGTTTGTGAAAGTTTTTTTTTTTTTTTTTTTTTTTTTTAATATTTCATTTTACATTTATACATTTTTAATGTAATGCTCTACTTGGAAAAAGAAAGTAGCAACACAAACCCTCCCTATCAAAGGGTATTTCCACGGAGAATTGTGCTCTGAGATGATACATTTGGCAATAACTGGACGCTTTCCATGTTTTGGCATCCACACTTTATTATCAAATTTTTTTGCAGCTGAAAATAATGTACCTATGTTTCATTTCCTGTTACTTTGCTTGAAAGTATTTGATTTTTTCCTCTTTTCAAATAGTCATTATTTTTACTTGCATGAAATCGGACTAGCTTTATGTTTCTCGTTCAGTAAATGAGCAACCGTCTCTTAGAAATCTGCCTGTATCCGAGGTCTCTGGTAAGAATTTTATGAACTATTCCCTTCTGTACGAGCTAAGTCCCTACCTGCTCTATCACCCTGTCTACCTAATTCTTTATTTTCAGTAAGTTTTGGTATTACTAACCATTTCTTGCCTCCCAAGTCGTGCATTATCTTTGACATCCTTTCTCAGTATATTTTTCTACATTTGATTTTTTTTCAGCCACCTGAAAATTGTTCTATATGACGATTGTTGGTCTCTATCTTCCATTCATACTTTTTTAAAAATGTATCCTTTTTTTAAGGTAAGCACCGACCTTATTAGTCTCTTATTTCCGCTGCTGTATTTACTTTTATCTCATGATAGAACAGTAGAGTATCTCGCGTCGGGTAATTTTAAAACTGTACGAAACTTCGATAACAATTCTTTCTCCACAAGGACAATGCAGTAAGTAAGGAATTGATTCAACCGTTACAAGTGTTTGAACTTTGAGGTTATCTACATTTACTTTTTAATGGAGGAATGGCGAGGACAAAACTTTTTGAATGACCCTCGTACATCCATTTTGGGTAAGCAGGTCTGTTATGTCGCGATTTTAAGTACTACATGACGACGTTAAGATGACACAATGAAGCAATAAAGAATATCGCTGTTTGTCCATCTTACCATCGTGATCGCACTATCGCGTCATCGCTATCGTATCATCTCGTCAATGCCATCGTACCATCGCATCGTTGCTCTATCGCCTCATCGTGCCATCACCATTGCGTCATTAACATCGTCCAATTGCATCACCCATCGACGCAAACCTGCGATGCGATAGTGAACTATGTTGCCGTATCCGGATTAAATAAGAATCGGCATCACATATATAAATATCCTTTTGAATGACCAAGGATATAATGAAACAGCCTTATTGAATTTAGTAAAGAATTCGGAATTATTTTTATACCCCTCTTTCCGATTGAAAGGCCCGGGGAGTATAGTGATGGGGTCCATCCTTCCGTACGTCCGTAACACTTACCTGCAACTCCTCCTATACCACTGAATAAAATTTAATCAGACTTTTATAGGATATTTATTACAAAGTGCAATTGTGTACCTCATATTTTATTTTGCAATCGGGCAGATAAATAGGTTACTCATAGCAAAATATGGATACTGTCATTCTTTCTATAACATTGGGGGAACCCATCTCTTATCTGCAACTCCTTTTATACCAGTGAATAAAAAATACGACTTTCACAGAATCTTTCTAACGTAATGTCATTGTGCACCTTTTATTTTTCGATTGGGCAAATACATAGGGTTACCAATAGCATATCAGGGACTTTGTCATTATACTCTTTTGATAGCGGGTGGTTTCATTTTGTTAGTTCAGCACTCATTTTTAGCTCACCTAAGCTGAAAGCTCAAGCGAGTTTTTCTGCACATTTTGTCCGTCGTCCGCCTGTCTGTCAGTCCGTCCGTCTGTAAACTTTTCACATTTTCGGCATCTTCTCAAGAACCACTGGGCCAGTTTCAACCAAACTTGCCACAAAGCCTCCTTGGGTGAAAGGGATTTAAGTTTTTCAAATGAAGTGACACGCCCTCTTTCAAGGGAAGATGATTAAGAAATAGTGAAAATTTGGTGGTATCTTTTAAAAATATTCTTCCAAGGAACCACTGAGCCAAGTAAGTTGAAACTTATGTGAAACTTTCTGTACATATTGTAGATTCAAGTTTGTTCAATTTATGACCCCCGAGGGTTTGATGGGCACACAATGGGGGATCAAAATTTTACATAGGAATATATAGTGGAAAAAAACTTTAAAATCTTCTTCTCAAAAACAGCAAAGCCATCTAAGTCCTATTTATATGACAGCATCCTCAGGTAGTGTAGATTCAAGTTTGTTGAAATCATGACCCTTGCAGGTAGGATGGGTCCAAAACAGGAGATCAATGTTTTATAAGGAATATAGGGGATATATTAATAAAAAATTTTCTTCTCAAGAACAGCAAAGCCATGATTAGTCATATTGATTCAGAAACATCTTCAGGTAGTGTAGATTAAAGTTTGTTCAACTCATGACCCTCGGGGGCTGGGTGGGACCACACTGGGTGATCAAAGTTTTACATAGGAATATATAGGAAAAAAATCTTTAAAAATCTTCTTCTCAAGAACACCAAAGCCATCTTAAGTTTTATTAATATGGAAGCATCCTCAGAGTGTAGATTCAAGTTTGTTGAAATCATGACCACTGCGGGTAGGATGGGGACACAACAGGGGATAAAGTTTTACAAAGGAACATAAGGGACATACAATAATTTTTTTTCTCTCAAGAACAGCAAAGCCTTGATTAGTCATTAATTCAGATTTCAGAAGCATCCTCAGGTAGAGTAGATTCAAGTGTGTTCAAATCATGTTCGTTGGGGTAGGGCGAGGCCTCAATAGAAGATCAAATGTCAGGACCACTTTTATATTCAAATTTTTAGTACTGAAAATACTGTACTGTTTTCTGCTTTTTGCTAGCCAAACTGCTCTGGTTAGCGATGTGGCCCATTGGCCTCTTGTTTCAATTAGTATCCTGGTTGAACTAAGATCGGGGTTTTTGATGGACTGATTTGGTATTTTCTGTCATTTATTCGATGATAAGCTTTCAAGTTCCAAGTTTTGCACATCCTGTCAAAATTTTAGGAAAGCTAATTTCAACCAATCCAAATAATGGTTTGTCCGTTCGTTGTGTAGCATACAGTGATCTCTCCTATAGCTTCAAACGTTTTATTTATTGAATATTGGATACATACATACGTACATCTAGATATAATTGTGCGTATGAAATTTTATTAGGGCTGCGCAATAATATCGATATTATTGATATTCCAGTATATTGCGATTCGTTAACAAAATATATCGTATTGCGATACGTTTTTCCAGTACCGATATACCGGTAAACTACCTGGGCTTTAGATTTCTTTAGTAAAATATGAAATTTAATAGGTTAGAAACATTTTCAATCGTGCCAAGTAGTTCCAAACGGTAATGTTGCTGTTGTTTGGTTGCACTTTGTTCCAAAACTGTAGTGAAATCAACAAGAACATTTTTGTCACAATGTTTTTATGATAGTTTTAGACACGCTTCTTATAGATGAAGGTTGATAAAATAAGAAAAAGAGCATTTTAACTGTCATTGAAAATATTGCCATACATATCGCAATACAGTTAAAAATATTGCAATATATCGCAATACAAAATTCCCAGCCGATACCCAGCCCTAAATTTTATGTATACGTAATCTACTGTTTTCATACTTGTAAAATCTACAAACGTTTGAACATAAGATTTTAAAATCAGTTCTGTAGTTGTTTCCAAATGTTTAAGATTCATATATTATGAAAAACTCTAAGCGTTTGTTTTGAAAAGATACTATATTAACATGGTAAATCTGGTATTGATTTGACCAATTGCTGTACTTTACAAAAAGATTTCAAATTATTTTTCTCATATATATTTCTGTGTAAAATTTTGGACACGTACTGTTACCTTGCAACTCCTCCTGTACCACTGAATGAAATTTAATGAGACGTTCACAGAATCCTTATTACACTAGTGCCATTGTGCACTTCATATTTTTTTTTGTTTCGATCGGACATATATTACAGATAGTTGAGAGTTCCCATATATAGAAAACACAGACACTGCCATTCTTTCTATAAATTGGGGGTACCCATCCCTTATCCGCAACTCCTGAATAAAATTTCATGAGAATTTTACAGAATCTTTATTACATGGTGCACCTCCTCCTTATGTTCTGATCGAACAGACATTTGTTTTCAACTTTCCCATAGCAAAAAATGAACTTTCCAATTATACTCGTATGGGAGTGTAGTCGCCCGCGTAGCGCAGTTATTGGATATTTTGCTCTAGAGGAGTTGATCCTTACGTCGCAGGTTCAGGTTCGAATCCCACCGCTGGACGGGAGACTGGTCCTTCAGATGAGACCGTATAAATCGAGGTCCCGTGTCGCAGTAGATGCTGGCACGAAAAAATGCCTCAGTGCTCAAAGGCCGTAAGCGCACAGCACAGGTCTAAATTTGTAGCCCCTCAACTGACAAGTGGTAGCGTCTCAATATGAGTGAAAAATTCTCGAAGGGACGTTAAAAAACAAATATATGGGAGTGGGGGAGGGGGTATCATCTTTATGAGCTCAGTACTCATTACCTTTAGCCCTTTTATTCTATTAGACTAGTTTTGGTATAAGTGTGTGCTTGATAGTTAAGGCTAAACCAACATGACTCAAATATGAGTAGCATGCTTTTTGCAATTTCTGCTTTCTCTTCAATTATGGATGATGGGAAGTTTTAATATTACAGTGTTACATTATGACACTACACTTCATAAATACCTATCATTTATAAAAAGAAAATAAAAAGATAATGAGTATATGAATACAATAACAAAAAAAAGTTTTCGTTTTGCTGGTTGTTTTTCAACCATGAGATTCAAAACTTGAGTCGGAATTTTCATCCAAAAAGAGCACATTTGACAAAGATAACATGACACAAATATCAACATTTCAAAAAAAAAAATACAAAGTCGAAAGTTGATACAGTATTTGTTTTTAAAAAATGTAAAATATTGCTTTCCTTATGTTTTAATTTGATTGTCTGTGTTTGTCTTTGTTTCGAAAAAGTTTTGATGTTGTTTAGCTTAGTCTCCTTCTCTCTTTAAAAGTCCTATCCATTGACCAAATCTCCTAGATATATCCCGAACATGATCCACCATTAAGCTGAAACACATCGATATCAAAGTAAGACCAAATAGAAGATACAGCGAGCAAATGACCCGTTTGGCAGGACTGGCCCAATTCTCCAGACTGTGTCCGGGTACCACGTCCCCAAAGCCTATCGTACTAAGGGTGATGAAGCAGAAATACCCAGCTTTAAATGGGTTCCAGTTCTCCCACAGGCTAAACAACACAGTGCCCAACAAAATGTAAGCAATGACGAGAACGAAGCACACGTACACTGGGACCCGTGTATCTTTGACCCTCTCAGTGTCCGACATTACGAACTGAGCCTCGTTTTCATCATCCTCTGTTTTCACATTTTGGGGATTCGCAAATAGATATTTTGAAGAGGCATCAGATGTTGTGTTTGTTTCTCTCTTTTCCTTTTTGCATACAAGTCGTTTATAAAGAACCTTGAATGAAATACTAAGCACGTGACCTATATTAGCCAAGCATATCATTGTGAGAGGGATTCCGATGAATGCATACACAATCGTAACCATTCGTCCTAGTATAGTTTTCGGAGTAATATTTCCATATCCTGAAACAACATGATGATGTAATGAATTACATACGTTGAAGATACATTGCTTGATAATGACAGCAAAGAAGTGGAGTAAGATGTGCATGCAAAATGCGAGGACACAGTTGAACGTGGACAAATTTTACTAAAATGAGGCTTTCTATTATACGTTTCCATAATGCTTCCTTGGGACACACTTAAAAGACTTTTTTAAAATATTGTGTGCAAGAGTTTGAAAAAATACAATTTTACACCCTGAAATTACCATCAAATGACCTCAAATCAGGATTGTTGTATGAACAAATTCTGCTTCAAAAGTGTCTTTGACGTTTTTTAACTGCGAAATTGTGAACAAGACATTTACAAATAGAATGTCTGTAATATTGACCTTGTCCAAATGACCTTTAGTAAAAGTCTTTTTAGACACCTTGGTCAAATGCATTCACCTCTGTGTCAAATATTTTGCTTCATAACGATGAATAAGACATACACCCCAAAACCCGGTGACTGCGGTTCTCTTCAAATGACATTGATTAAAAATAACGATACACTCTTTGGTTAACAGCTGCACAAAATTATGCCACGTTTGGGTGTCTTATATATATATATATATATATATATATATATATATATATATATATATATATATATATATATATATATATATATATATATATATATATATATATGTTTTCATTAAGAAATTAAGAACTGGACTTAAATTTCCAGTGATCTTGACTTCGATCAAGTGACTTTGGTTTCAAGTACTAGTGTTGACACGAGGTCAAAAAATAAATGAACTGGCCACTTTTTTTTAAATTCAAAACTTAATTTGCAAACAGATACAGAGACAAATAGACCCCGAAAAACTAACAAAATAATATACAATAAAACTCTATTCATTCCCTTCTATATTTCGAGGACATAACAATTTTGCTTCATTTATATCGATGCTATTGTCCTCATTGTCCCGCGAGATGATTTTTTTGGTAATGAATGAAAGTTTTGATTTTTCCATAAATTTTTATGAAAATGGCAATGTACCGGTACGTCGACTCTGCAAAATCGACAAAAATATAATATGCAATCAACAGTCGATTCAACTAATCATTAAGAAATAAATGGTATGTCAGGAAATAATTTCTTGGAATAAACTGATGACTATCCGGTTCGAAACAAATAGAAGGAAGCTCTAAACCCAAATACAAGCATCAGGTGATGCATAATTAATACGTCAAACAGGCAATGAGTACAAAGTTTGAATTCTTCCTTCTCATCTATCAAACTTGCTATTGTGTGCACACGCAATAACTCCATCTCACTAAACATGTATAAACACTTTTTTTTTTTGCATTTTTCTGCACAAGTATCGAATTTTGTATATGACAAACCTGCAGTTAGACGACATCCAATCAGCACTGCTTACCTATCGTGGTAATCACGGTGACGGAATATAACAAAGCACCGGTAAATGACCACTCTGAAACCCCGGAATAATCCTCCTCCCTGCCATCCCATCCAGCACTAGTGACTGCCACAAATATCTCTGTCTATGAAAGAAAATTAATACACATATACACAAAATTAAAAAAAAAATTAATTTACATTTTTTATGGAGTATGTTCATTTCATGGTGGCTATTTATTAATTGCGGATATCCCTTGCCAAGAAATTAATTACCTCAACATAAAAAGGGGATATGAAGTCTTTTCTAACTCTTTTCTTACAATCATAGAAAAAAAAAGAAAATAGTAAAATTTTAGGACCGTCACCAGTTCTTTTGAAAGGGAGTGCGGGCGAGGGTCTGAAAGGGGTAGTCCCCTTAAGCCAAATATATACACATATAGAGAGAGAGAGAGATACCAAAATATTTTTTCGAAAAATAAGTGAACGAAATATAGCAACATTAAACATATGAATATAATCAATTCATTTCGTATCAAAAGTAATATTTAAGATTTTTTCTAAGAAGGAGGAGCGCTCGCACGCAAAACACCCTCCATTAACGACCTTGAATTTCAATAATCTACAAAAATTGCATGCATAACTTTGATTTGATTCCAAGAACTTCCATAAGCACTATAGATCATTGCGTTTGCAAATTTTCCACCGCTGACTGCTCTTCGTAATACTTTGATTTTCATGAAACCATGAGGCATTTGATTAGATGTCAACCTTCATAAAGAGTTTTAAAGTGAAAACTTTAAACTACTCCTAGTAATACATTGTAGCTGCGTTACAAACATACGTTAGGCACGGAATTTTTACAGCAATGCTACTAATGACTAGTTTCTCTTGAGTGAGCTACAGTTCAAAGGATGTGAAACAGCATACAAAAATGAAGTATAATGAACTTTTAGGTTTAGTCCTCACTATAAACATACTAAATAATAAACAAACCTGGAAGTCCACGAGTACCTTTTCAACAGCTCTGGACCAGTTCTGCCTTTCGAACACGAATAAATTTTCATTCAACCACCAGAGACGCTGAAGAGTTTTGTTCCTTATATCTTTGACCAATACACGATTTAATTCCTCTTTTGGTTCTTCTAGGGCTCCGAATATTGCAGCTCCCAGAAGTGCATACCCGACCACAAGACACACGATGCCAATCTGGGAGAAACAAAACACAACTAGTTTCTTGAAGAACCAGCAGCATTTTTTGCGACATTCGTAACAGGAATTGGTCCAGCGCCGCCTATGCCGTTCGCTTTCTGACATAACCACAAGTTAAACAAATAAAATTGAAAAACAGTTAGATACAAACAGCTTCCGTTAGATTAGAGGTTGATACATTTTTGCTCATTTAGTTGAAATGACAAATGATCGCTTAATATCAAAGGCCTCGTTTACAATGTGACACTCTGATCTGTCTCGCGACTTCAAACGTTATCATTATCAATATTGGAGGATGAGATATCATCTAGCTTTTTTGACGCCACTATTCCCTATGCGAAGTTAAAAGGTCTGTTGAACCTAGTGAGAAATTTGGTACTTTTATAAGCGCAAAGTGAATCGCTTGGTACATGGAATGATGGAAGTCGTTGATATGATGCGACAAGTTCGGATATTGCTCTAATTCATATTTCATGCATAAATAGATCATCCATTTAAAATCATCTAATTTTGTCAAAATATTGTCTTCTAACCTTTGTCCTAATTTAAAAACTTACGCCTTTTCGTCAACTCGCCAAGAAAATATTAATACGTGTCGGGGTACATTTAACTACAGAATTCATCTATTATTTGCTTAGAACTATCAGTTTTGATTGGAACCAACAAAATACAAAAGACTTGAAATGTACGATAATAACAAAGTTCAATAACAATCATAGATTCTTCCCCAAAGCAATCATTTTGTATTTATTATTAACAAGTCCAACATGTCTCTGCAATTTCTTTTGCCTGCCATTACACAAAATATCAATAATGCAGCCACCTAGTATCAAAAGATCCCCTCCACGGTGCTTAGTTCAGTACACTCTAGAGGTCTGAGATAAATTAGACTGATTGATAGATCTGGTCTGTGCAACAATGTGCATTAGTTGACAACACAAAGGGAATAAAGCAAATGGTTTTCCGCAAAACAGTTTTAAAGTAATTGCGCGATGTTAACAATGGAAGAGGAAGTCTTTTAGTACAAAAAAAAAATGTAAATATTTTTAAAAATGGAGAAAAATATATGTTTCCTGGATCTGACTAAAGGTTTTACTCAAGAAAAAGCAGAATGACGAGAAATCATTTCCAGTGCCTTAGTCACAACTAACATGTCAAATAAAGTCCGGCATCATATGAATTCGCTACAATTTTCTAGGCATAACAGGCGAAGTATCCATCACTCTAAGCTTTAACCCAACACTCCAGAAACGTTGAAGCATCCATCTCTCTGAGCATTACAAACCACAAACGGCGAAGTCTGGATTAACTCAACACTCCAAAAAGGAGAAGCATACAATTCTCCAAGTATTAACCAAAATAAACTAAAAGAAAACAACAAAACACAAGTTAAATTGATGCAAAGCATCAAATCGGCTGCAAAAATATATTTTATTTTGAAGAATTTCCACAAGAAAGAGTCCAAAGAAAAAATCCAAATAGAAAAAGTATATGATACATTTTTACACTTGCTTTACTTTTCTGTGCATTTTTTACACTAGTTTTCAATGATCAATTCTTAAATATTTATGCAAATAAAACTAAATTCATTAATATGAAAATCGGACTGCAATAGTGTAATATCATCAAAGTATTTGATTCAAGGAAAAATGTAACAAATATCTAAAATAATTGATTATTTATGTCTGAATGCTGAGAAAAAGGACACAAGCTTCACGTGCTGATACCCTTGATTTTTGTCACGTGGTAATGCCGATCAGTGTTGTGATAGATATGCAGAAGTGCAGAAAAAATTTCATTGTTTCACTTGCAACGGCAGTGTTAATTTAAAACCAAATTCAGTTCTTATTCCAATTTATTAATTATTTTAGGCACTATAATTCATATCCGGAAACTCAATACGTTTTCTTTTTATATCTTACGCACGCCCATGTAAGGGAGCAGTTCATGAAACAACTTTTTGTAAAATCATTATATTAATAAATATCTGACGAGAAATGAAAAACAAATTGAAACATAATAACAAGTATTTAGATTTAGTTGTAAACAAATTTTTAAGGCTTTTATTCGTAACTTTTATGTTTGTTATCAATAAGGAATTATTTCAACGAAGTAATTAAAAAAACAACGTCTCATTTCCCCATGTGCACATTCTAACACAACCACAAATAGATCGGCCGCTTCTGTGGCCGATAATAAAACTGTCTAATGATTAAACCCAAAAACTCAACAACAACAAAAATTCGGCACTCAGCTCTTTGAGGATAAACGCAACACTCCAAAAAAATGAAGCAAACAACTTCCGTATACATCGGGTTAATTTGGTGTCGGTAATATTTGGCGAATTTGATATCTAAAATTGACATTTTATATTTTGGTGGATTTCATTTGGAAGAAAAATTAATAAATGGAAGTATTTTCAAGTCCTTTTTTAAAATTATATACTTTACTCTTAATAAATCAAAGTCTACAGGTAATGATGACGTCAAGTTTTCATCCACGCGTGTTAGTCCTATTTGTGTTAATAATACCTACCTGGGTCATAGGCGCTTGGGTCAAGGGTAATGTATATTTTCTATATAATGTATTGTCGAGGAAATTCGAACAAAATTCGTAACATTTTTTAAAGCACACAATGGTTTTTTTGTAAATCTTTCTGCTTGATATAAGCTAGACTGCCACAGAAATTTGATATTATGCACGTTTTAAGAATAAAATATCCCAACGGTATACTAAAAAGAAACTTTATAGTATACAGTTGGGATATGTCATTTATAGTCACTTATAGACGCACCATTGTCGCCCGCGTGGCGCAGTGGTTAGAGCGTTCGCTCTAGAGTCGCGGAGTAAGGAATTGATCCTTACGTCGCGGGTTCGAATCCCACTGTGGGACGTGGAGACCGGTCCTTCGGATGAGACGTATAAACCGAGGTCCCGTGTCGCAGTAGGTGCTGGCATGAAAAAGATCCCTCACTGCTCCATGGCCCAAAGTGCCGAGTATAGGTCAAAATTTGTAGCTCTCCACCGGCAAGTGGTGGCGTCTCCATATGAGTGAAAAATTCTCGAGAGGGACGTTAAACAATAAACAAACAAACAAACAAAATAGACGCACCATTTGATTATTTAGAAAATTGATCATTTAGTGGACTCGAAGCGTTAGAAAAAAGATAATACATTATTTATAAAAATAATATAGAAAAGTTATTGACTAATGACCGTTTGCATTGTTTTATAATACAATAAGACACACCGTCAACAGGAAACAAATTATAAAACGTACCATATTTATTCAATAATACCTAAAATACTTTACAAACGTTATTTTGTTTATATATCTTTATTTAGGTACGTATACACTGAAGTTTTCTTCTTTAAATTTTATGACCATGACAATTTTATGTGCACTTTAAATAACTACTTTAGAGCAACTGTAAATTTCTTTAAAAAAAAAAAACTGAATGAAAATGATATTAGAACATCTATTGATGCATGTGAATATATTTATATGAACTCTTAATATCTTGAAAATGTTCCAGTGGTCTTTAAGTGATTTATTATATTGCTTTATATTAAACATGAAATATTTTAACTATTTATTTTCTAAAACACCTTTTATGGTTTTGTGAAACACTGATGCCCCCGAATGGCAACTCATATCAAAGGTTAAACTTTCTCGAATACAAATCAAATATGTTGGTACCCAAAGTAAGGTCTTGTCTCGAGGAATATACCTTTGAAATATGAAAATCGTAGCAGCAACCATTCAATAGATATGGAAAAGGTTAAAGTTTTTCAAAAGTAAGTCAAACATCAAGGTCAAGTTCAAATGGTCAAAATTAATAGTGCCCAAGGAAAGGCCTTCTAACAAGAAATACACATGTGAAATATGAAAGCCCTGGCACCAACCGTTCAAAAGTTATGGCCAAAGTCAAAGGCTTTCAAAAGTAGGTCAAACTACAAGGTGAAAGGGTCAAAGTTGTTGGTATCAGGTCTTGTCACAACGATTACATATGTGAAGTATGAAAGCCCTAGCACCAATCATTCAAAAGTTAGGACCAAGGTTAAAGTTTTGCAAAATTATGTCAAACTCCAAGGTCAAGGTCAAAGGGTCAGATTTTATGGTAACCAAAGTAAGGTTTTGTCACAAGGAATACACATGTGAAATATGAAAGCCATAGCTCCAACCAATCAAAAGTTATAGGCAATGTTAAAGTTTTTGCGGACAAACAGACAGATAGACAGACAGACGGACGGACGGACAGGGCAAAAACTATATGCCCCCGAATCTTCGATTACGTGGGCATAAAAAGAGTATTAATAGAAATTTATTACTTAGCCGGCAGAGTTCTGAATGAATGAATGAATTAGTATCTTTGAATACGGCAAGGTGGATTGTCACATATATATCAAACTTCCTAGTTCCAGCCATAACAATCGTTATGGACACGGTATCTGGATAAGCAGATTCAAGTTCCTAACTCTTAGTGGATGCCCTGGCGTGACGTCATATCGACTAGAATAATAAAATAGATCTTTGATTACATCATTTGCTTAATCGTCCAGTAGTCTAAAAGTGAAAAAAAGCGAAGATAACGAATATTGATCAAAAAATTTATGAACAATACAAATCTGTAAACAGGGCATAAAACACGAACCTCTGAAAATTCCAAAGGTATCAGGTGTCATCAGGTCACACCCACAGCCCTAGGTATTGATCAGGTAAATACTGCACTCAAAGAACTACGCACGGTAACTCCCGATTCCCGCCTACATTTTACAAGCATTTAATTCAATATTGATGACAATTTGGCCATAAAATCTTTGTTTAATACAAAGAACAGTTCAATGGTAATTGATTAATTATTTTAATTCCAGTGCTAAATAGTAAAATATCCCTAATTCCAGCTCTTGAAATATGGGGGGTAGACGATATTTTCCACTGAAATCGGGCTATAAAGCATCACCATATTCTGAAATAGTCTTGGATATGAATAAATGTTTCTTAAATCTTTTCTTATGTTTTATGCATATAAAATTACGCATATATATATTAATAAAATATAATGTTGCAGTTGTAAAGCACTTGGAAATTGCTGAAAAAATAAGCATTTTTGTCGTTTTTTGTATATAAACATATGTCCCCCCCCCCCCCCCGTGAAACACAAAAAGGTTTGGTATGAATTGAATTTTTGTTACACGGGGGGGGGGGGGGAGGGAGGGAGATGTTTTAAAAATATTTTCCGTTTTCCGTTGACTTCTATAGTGAAAAACACGAGTTTTACTAAAATTTTAGAGTTTTCTCTCGTTGTTTTCCCAAAGAAGTAATGTTTTATGAAAATCCATATAAATATCAATATAAATATCAAAAATCATTCGAATATCTTAACCTTCGAAAATTGACCTGGAGGTAGGCGGGAGAACAATACTATCGTTCGCAGTTCTTTAGTACAAATACAAAGGACTAACAATTGATATGAAACATGTCAGCCAAAATACGACCCAATGATAGGTTATAATTGCTAACAAGGTCATTATAACGACGAAAGAATTTAAGAAATGCTGACTTTTAACGAGGTTGTTGAAATCCCTGTTACATCAACTTATCTGTCAGGTGCTTGCCTCGGATTAAAAAATTGTTCGTACTCAGAGCATGCTCTTGAGTATCGGATAAGTTGGGGGACATAAATACCATACGCAGGTAATAGTGGAATATTACTACATAAATAAGGAAAATGACGATGGAAAAGCTGAAGTCATCTCGTTTATCTTACAATTTCGTTGTTAGTTGGCCATTATTGTCTATATCCAGTAAATTATCCAAATATGAAACAGATGTAGCAGGCTCTTTGGTGTTTTTTTTTATTTCGAGTTCACTGGGATATATCAAGTCGACATATGAATGGAAGTCACTACAGTACTGTTAAACGATAAAATGATATATCTGAATGTAGAGTTGAAGGGCACAGCAAGTAGTTTCTTCTTCTAATGCAAAAGTATTTTTAAATAAATTCTGCTTCATAGGAATATATTTACATTTCAAATTTCTTTGTCCGAGATAAAACTACAGATCATTAAAACCTTTACTTCTTCATAAGGCTCTTAGTTAATCGATAGGCGTTGTAAAAAAAATCACGGGCGGAGCGAGAAAGAGAATTGGGCGGGGTTAGGATCGAGCACGTGAACGGAATCATGTAAATATAAGGAATAACTGTCAGTTTTTTGTTCTATGATGATGATAAGCGATTGGCTTGCTTGGTTATTTTATGCATAAACACCTTCGGCGTTTATGCAAATTATCACGCAAGCCAATCACTTGATCACACCATAAAACCAAAAATAAAAATAGACAGTTATTCCTTAAATAAAAGCAGGTCGGCTAATAAAGGAGCATAATTATTGCCCATCGAAATTCCAACAATTTGTTGGAAGACCTGGTCTCCGAATACTTCATTAATGTAGTCAGTGAGAACTCCAGCATCCTTTTGATATCAACTTCAGAGTACTTGTGTGTAGAAGCAGAGTGATTTTTAACAAAGTAATTTTATAGATAACCAATCAGAAGATATGGAAATTTCTGAGTTCCGTTTTTATTGAGGAAGCAGTTGTCTTTGATGTTAAACAACGTATTCCTTCATTTATTGCAATAATTTTGATGGTTTTGGTCCCACCCTTCAGGAGCAAGGGCCATAAAATTTGTCTGCCTTTGTCCTTAGATGCTTTATATACAAAAATTAGTTGATATTGGTTCAGTAAATTCAGAGTGGAAACTGAAAATGTTCAAAAGTTTACAATCGACAATGAACAGTGACAGAAAAGAATAGCAGTGCGTAGCATAGCAATATGACATCAGATTGACCTCAGTGACATAAAAATGATTTTGTGGTATACCGGTACCACATCACCAGAAATGATGTCTCCAGCTGGACTGTTGAAATGTTGAAATAGGATTTACAGCAAAGTTTACCTCATTGAGGGTTGTTCTTGTAGGAATCAAGGAATTCCAGTTTTGATAGTTGAATCTTGTTTAATACTAAGTTACAACATACATTTCAGTAATATTTAAAAAATATTCAAACAGTAAAATTTTTCATTTATGTCATTTTAAAAAATCTCTCAAGCCCTGATATTGAAAGAGATTTAATATTTCAATAAATCAGTAATGTTATTTTTTATCTAGAGTAATAATAACACATGTTCCGAAGGAGACCACATCTGTTTTTCGTTATAAAATTATCTTTCAGTAGATAATCTTCCTTATCATGCGATAAAGTATTTCTAACGTATAAGTTTCTTCAATATTATTAATAGATGTTAAAACATCAAGCGGAGGATTCGTGATTTAACTGTTAAGAATGGGGCGCAAACTTTTACAAGTTTAAATGACAATAGAGCTCACAAAAATTTAATGTGAGTTTTATCAAGACTTTCTTAATGGGTTGTTGGGGTGTGCCCCCGCAAAAATCTGCCACTGACCTGCTTTGTTGGACATTAACTGGAGGTCTTGACTCTTGGGGGAGGGGAGACGTCTCCGAAAATTTTTCGTTTTATTCATATATTCAGAGATACGATATCAAAATTCCATTTTATGAACGTAGTTTCTCCGTAAACTAATATTTTAAAACCCTTAAGATTTTTAACATATTTCTTTTTTTCTGATTTAAAGAAGGAATAGTTGTCTTCACTCTGTGTAGTATCGGATATGAACTTGGAAAAAATATTTTAAATACAATTATTTGTTAGACTTTGAATGAGGGAGGGACAGGTGCCTAAATAGATTGACAATTCTTAATATTCGTGCTTAGACAATTTTGACTCTGGAGTGGGGGATGCTGAAATTACACTTACTTGCACAGACCTGATATTATACTGTTGAACATATGTGCTATTTTGTTTATCTTGAGAGGGAGATAATAGTTTTGATTAAAAAAGAATAACAAAAATATTCCTACATAAAATTTAGAACCTGTGGCCCAACGTGTAAAGGATATTGAAATCCCATCTTCACTATTTAAGATACCTACATTTGATAATTTGTAGGATGTAGATAATTTTCTGTAAGATTTTTTCCTGTTTGTTTATATATAAAACTTTGAACTCCTTTCTGCCCGACCAACCATTCTTTTTTTTTATCGTTATTTCCACTACATGAAAATGTTTGTATAGAAAACTTCAAATATTTTTTTTTCTGCATGGGGTCATGATTTGTTTATGTGATTTTAAAAATAAAACTATTTTCGCTATATGTCTTAATGTTCAGTTTACCTAATCAATACAAAGGTTCAAGGCTGGTGTGACCTGTCAACGAGGGATGCTTACTTCTCCTAGGCACCTGATCCCACCTCTGGAATTTCCAGGGGTCCGTGTTTATGCCCTGGTCTCAGATTTGTACTTTTTGTAGATTTTTTCTGAGACCGATTACTTTTGGTTATCTTCACCCTTTTTCATTACTTTCCCTTAACATAAGACATGCCCAATTGTTTGAAGAGAGTTTAATTATTGCTACCAAATTTTGTTTTTTGTCAGGTTTGGTTAAAACTGGCCTGAAGTTCTGAAGAAAGTTAGGATACAGAGGACACTCCGACGACGAGGAAAATTCTTTGAAGCCCAGGAGAGCCATTAATAAGTAAAGCACTATCACAGATAAGTTTATTGTGAACAGTTTCTAACAAGTTAACATCTAAATGTGTATCATAAAAGTGGTAAAAGCTATGTTGCTAAGTACACACTAACCCTATTTGTTTAAATAAAAGAGTCCACAATGGAGCGTTCTTTCTATAATACCAAAGATTAATTTGCCAACATCGTCTGTCTTTAACTACTTTCTTATAGAACTAAAATGATTTAAAATTACAGTTTTGACAACTAATTCTTTGATGATTTTTGTAAATATATCATCTGTATGACGAGTCTTAAAGCAGACGATATTGATCACGTGACAATCCATATACTGGTCACGACAGAGGCAGATGAATATAAAATATATCATAAATATATGGAATATATTATCTAAAATATCACATCTATTAAAATAACAATTTAAACTCTTTCCTTCAAAATAAACTTTGGATGAAAATTTGCATAGCTGTGTACAAATATACATTGGAAGATATTGAACTAATTTTCAAGGTTGTAACAAAACACACTGGATGGAGAACGGTTCTATTCATCCCCTTTGTTGTTTGTATGGACAGGAATCGGTGTATGGTTTGGCACAAGTTTTACACGGAGAGAACATTGGCCTGCAGTCAAATGGAAAAACTACTAGCATTGTGCTATGTCTAGGGTACATTTTGTCAGAGTACTAAATGAGTATTTGTCAATGCCGATCTACTATGCTTATATAAATATGACTGTACGTTCAGGCGCTACATACATTGTTACTCTATTAAACAACAACATAATTTACGAAAATCTGAAAGTATTCCCTTGGCTCCTCTTCTATCAACGATGCTTAGAACACTAAAACATAATAAAAACTACTCTAGGCGAAGCCTTTATCATGGAGACGTGATACTGCCCTCTGGACTAAAGTAATTCTCGTCGATGCTACTACTGTAGGTTAGAACTGGGCATGCTCCTCCTCCTCCGCCGCCTGAGTTCATTACCATCACCCCTTGTGTCGACGGTCGGTTAGTGGTCGGTCGGGAAGAGACTTCGATTTTTGGACGTTCGCGACGCCTTCTATGTCTTCTTGCAGTAGTAGGAGACATTGGTTCTCCATGGGAGTTCGTCTCGCCATTGGCGTTATTCTCGTCACGTGAGGACGATCTTGGAATTGGCTGTATCCCAGATACACTCTGTAAGCTGCGTGATCGTGTGTTGACCCCTTTGTCTTGAAAATCGACTTTGTCCGTCTCTACTGACTTGTCAGTAGTCTCGCCATTGGTTCCAGCTCCGAAAACATCCGTTTGTACATATATCTCTACGAAAGTAGGCTTCTCTGGATCCGAAACGTCTTCCGTTTGTGTCGAAAATGTACGGTAAAATTTTGGAGGATCGGCGGGGACATTTCTTTGTGATCCTATACTTGCAAACGTTCTCTGGTTGCGAATTTTCCCTTGCTGTGAGTTATCTGCGTCTTCTAAGCTTCCCATGTCTAACCCTCCTGGAATAAATATGATATTCTTCTCCACAGTTTTTGGCAATTCTCGCAATTCAATCTCTGATAATCCAGACAATTTTTCTTGAACTTGCTTTTTGAGAAGCAAAAGTTCTATGTCTTTGCCTCTTAAAACCAATTCAGTTAGACTACACGTGCTCTTTAAGCTATCCACATTTGTCTGCATATCGTTTCTTTTTGAGACATAATCCATGACGTCTGATCCATAGATCTCGTGTAAATCATCGATCAATTTCTTTTCCTTCGTTCGAATATCAGCAATGAATTGGATAGCGGTGTCTCTAACCTTTTGTTCCGTACTACGAATGACGGTTTCACATTTAGACAAAGCTTCTAGCTGAGTGTCGTATGTAGCAATTTTTTCCTTGCAGTCGTCGAGAAGATACTGAATATTCTCCTTGTACTTAACAACTGCCTCCGAAAACTGAGTGATTTCGTGATCCTTATGTTCATTGAACGTACAGAGAACACAGATGCAAGCCTCGCAAGGTTCGCAGTAAAAACGAACAACCTCCTCCGAATGTTCTTTGCATTCAATATCTTTTTCAATCTCTACATCAAAAATGCTGTGATTTTTCGTGACTTTCGTTTCTTTGTGCATTTCTACACATTGTTTACAGAGTAGCTTGTTGCAATCTAAACATTTTGAAGTCGCTTCTCTGTGCTTTCTGTTGACAAGCTTGCAGATGTCACAGAATGGAAATTTGGAAGGTCTTTGTCGCTGAACAAGCTCTGACAAACTCGAAACAAGGAAGTTGTCCGGAAGTTTCTTGACGCCACCTAGTGGTAGTTGTGTTCTTTTGCGACATAGTGGACATGTAAATTCTCGGTAGTCGCTATACTTCTTATAGGTGCATTCATTCATGATATGGTTATCGATGCACTGTTCGCAGAAAGTATGCAGACAGTCGAGGCATTTTGGGTTCTTGTAGCATTCCAAACAAATCTTGCATGTAAGAAATTCGTCGTTAATTTCCTGCGCAAGCTTGTTACCCCCGGGGGTGGAAGTTGAAGTGGTGGCGGTGGTGGTGGTCGAGGCGGACATTGCGGCGGCGTTTATTTGGTTAATGTCAATGGCGGTAGTGTGGTAGCGCTCTCTTTCTTGTCTTCGACGATACCTGCAGAAAAAAGGAAAGGACACTTTAATTTTTAGTAAAGAAATTTGCATATGTATATAGATCCTCCTGCATATCCAAAGATATTATGTATCAGACATATTGTATAAGAGCATTTTAGAATCCGTCAATCAATTTTCAATGCAACGTATATTTAAATTAAACTATTTACGTATTGGCATAGTTATATGTCAAAGAGATGTGATCTCTTTTCCTTTTACATATACCGATTCGAAACCATACCTTTTAGAAAATTAAAATTAAAAGAGCAATGCTTTGTTCAATATCACAGGCTAACTCTTTGGAGAAATACGAAACATTCTTTTCATTTTACGCAACCACTGACATGCAAGACATGGCACCTGTGAGACTATTCAAAAGTTTTCAGGTAGTGTCAATATAACATTGACACGAGCCACAGCATTTAGGCGGCCGATTACGGGGTTAATTATAATGTGTACGTTTATGAAACAATTAAGCCAACACAGGACTTCTTGATTGTACAAGTATCTGTAAGCATAATGAAGTATCTATAAGCATAATGAAATCAATGGATATAAGGTCTCTCTATCTTTCTCTCTCTCACACACAATAAAACGATAAATTTGCTCGGATGGCTATTTGAAAGAAAGTGTACTCCAGCTATATATTTGTTAATCCAGGCTAGTTGAAGCATGTTGAGCATCGTTAATCAAGAAGTCTTATAAAGGCATCTGCCTGCATGATAATTAATCGTCTGCTTGTAACTACAAATAGCAACCGGAAGCAATATGTTTCTGTTGGAATAAAATTCTTGTTAATAGTTTTGTACAAATGTATGATTAAATTTTAAATGTTGCGGTGTATTTGCGACACAAATTCCGTTTTCATATATTTTCCAAATAATACAGACGTAGTTGAAGATCATGCTTTTGCACATTTTAACTTCTGTTCTCTTTTATAACTTTCATTTTTCTATAGTAAATTACAAACAAAATACACTCATAGATGAACATCATGTTTTTGTATATCTAGACTTATACCCACTCATTCCCTACTACGAAATATTGATAATATTAAATAAGTTGGTTAAATAGTATTATGAATTGGTTATAAGGGGGTAAAGAGAGAAAAAGAGAAGTGGATATTGCATATAACATCAGATCTTATTTTCTTCAAGATAGGATGAGCTTTTTTATAAACGGTGCGTGTAATGTTATCTTCCAGTCGGTAGCCTTTTTGTTTCTAAACATATTATTACAAATAAAAAAATATCATAGAAAAAAAAGACCAATCAGGCAATATTCTATCATTAATTAACACAGGATTATCATTAATCTCCACAATGTGGTCATTACGAACACGTGAGTGTAAAACTAGCAGCTGAGAGCGTGGCAATTATCTAAATATCAGCAGGGGGTTATCTCCTGTGCTTACGTCACAGTCGTGTTCTATGTCATATATCACATAAGAGGAAAACGACTCGAATAAACTGAAATCTTACTGAAAGAAAAATTCATTCAGAAAGAGTTTTGTCTGCACGAACGAAAGACCTGCAGGTCTTACAGTTATTACCATAACACCTGGTAATAATAACTTATTGTTTCTATTTCGGTCATACTTATAACAGAGGAATTCCGACAAAAGTAAACCGTAAGACAGAATATGAGTTATTAAAGCATGGAGTCTGTGATAATTTACTGTGGAAATATTTTGTTCACGAAATGAGTTACTAAGTTCCCGTTTCAAGTCCTAATAGTTAGTAAAAAAGAAATAAAACATGAAAGACAATTATAAGCCCTTACCTAGAAATGCAATGATCAAAAGAATTCCAAAACCACAGATATTTCAATTGCTCGTGAACAATAAGAACAAGCTAAAACAGTTATACTGAACACGAAGCATTCAGTATTCTTATAATCAAGGCAATCCTACCCACAAAATTCCTTAATGACATAACACTGTTAATCATCCACCGCTGAAGCAGCGGCGGGAAAAAGATAATCTTTTCATCTACATTAGATACATATCTTGATTCAATTTAAGCAGTGTATATACACACGATAACAACTTTCTGGTCAGAAAATAAAATTATGTGCATGGTTGTACGGAGAGTGCCTAAAGTTTTAGCTTAAGTGGCTTAGAATATTGTATGAATGTGAAATCAACAGAAAAGATGAAGAAATGGAGTGTGCTTTCGACAAAGCGAGATGACTAATGATGCTCACGTCATAACCCAGAAATGCCAAGAAAATAAACTAAATCTAAAAAAGACGTAAAATAAACTGTGGGTGGAAGAAAAATATATCTAAAACTATCCTCGTATGTATCACTAGGCAATGCCTTGAATAATGCTGTCACTTAGTGAAGCTCTACATAAATACCTTAATATGCCAAGAAAAGACATTCTTGTAAAATTTCCCTTTGTGAAACTTCGCACCTTGTATCCAGAACAAAATGTTACAGAGAAATTTTATCAAAACGCCTTGGTAACCAACTGAGGTAAAACAACCCAGGCACAAATAGAGATATGATAACAGGGCAGAAAATGCATAAACTTATTGAAATAGAATACATGACTGCGATTTGGCAGCCACACTTCAATAGTTTTTAAATAGGTTTTTTTCCAGTCTTTATATTTTAAAATAAAATTTCCTTCGTGTCGTAACCAAACTAACTTTTATATTTCGGTGATCTCAAATAAAGAACCTTACATATCATTGTACTTAAAATGGATTAAATACTTTAATGAAGGTAATTTTGACGAATTCTGAAACCCAGTTGCAGAGAAAACAGGGTCATTAAACAAGGCGCCACATGGTCGAGTAAAAAATCACTAACCTTTTCTTTCCGAGCTTCTCAATAACAGCCGAATCGTCCATACCAGACTTAGAGAGGCAACAACGATAGATAACCGTTAATGTGAAAGGAAACTTCAAAGAGCTCGAAAATCCAACAAAGACCTGCTATCGTAATAACAAAGCGCCAAAGAAACCCATCAGTGCAAATGTGATTCAGCTACCCGCCGCCATTTTGGATGGTGAAAGATTTGAACAAAATGGCGGTTGAACAGTGAACAGACATAGAATTGCTAGCTGCAAAACAGCAGATGTTTCACGATAGGAACTCAGCTAGGAGGAATACACAAGTGAGCTATCTTCACTACTTATGCGTTCGGTCTCGGGAACTGGCTCTCAGTGGGTCATAAAATAAAAAAATCCTTATCTCTGGATTCCGTCTATCAAATCTTGTCCGTAATTATATTCATTCATTTGCATAATATAAACAGGTATACACATGTGCAAGATGCCACAATTCCGGGCTAGCTACAATTATTGTCACCTTTATTCATTGTCTACCAGTCATAACATATGGTTATGTTTAGAAGCTGAGGCATAGTAGATATTTTCCAATTCATATCAATGAGCACTGCATCTGCAACTTGTTTGTAAAACGCACAGACTTGCATATTCTGTTGTAAATTTTGTAATTGATCGTTTAATTATATATACTTATTGGTTAAAATAATACTGTTTGGATGTTCAGATACGCACAAGTTTATAATCTTTGAAAATAAACATTTAAATGTTGTGGAGCTTTAAAATATTACATAAAACAAAAAGTTTTCTTTTCTAAAGAGTTCAACCACGAAGTACTCACACTTCATACTGCGTGATTCAGTACTTGGGGAGATAAACAACCATATCCCAGTCACCTGCTGCCTCTACAATCATAAACTGCCAAAGGTAACAGGGTTAATATCAAATACAGTCCGCCTCCGAGAGAATGACCAAAGTCACCAGTCGAGAGATATACACGGTGCTACTAACCTTACAGAGGAGAATGTAAGACAAGATGGAACTAATTCAGATGTATGCATGAGGGGTACTCAGACCCATGGTAATACTGGTGCACTAGCACCTTACAGAGGAGGGGGGAAATATGGAACAAGATGGAACTAATTCAGATGTATGCATGAGAGGTACTCAGACCTCTTATATTACTGGTGAAGCACTACACCATTTTAGTCAGTACAATTTTTTTTTAACCTGTAAGCTTGAAAAAATTTTAAGCTTATAAGCTTACTAAAACTTATTATTTGGATAATTATATTCTTCATTATTTTTTTTAACTTTTGAAAATTATCTTACTTTCATTGTGAATCATTAGTACATGCTCTCCTACTTATTAAAATTCATTATAAATAATAAATACAAATTGAACTGAACAACAGTGTCTTGTGACAAATAGTACATATTCTGAACAACAGTGTCCTGTGACAAATAGTTCATGTTCTGAACAACAGTGTCTTGTGACAAATAGTACATGTTCTGAACAACAGTGTCTTGTGACAAATAGTACATGTTCTGAACAACAGTGTCTTGTGACAAATAGTACATATTCTGAACAACAGTGTCCTGTTACAAACAGTACATGTTCTGAACAACAGTGTCTTGTGACAAATAGTTAATGTTCTGAACAACAGTGTCTTGTGACAAATAGTACATGTTCTGAAAGACCGTCCTGTCTTGTGACAAATAGTACATGTTCTAAAAACGATGTCGAGTGACAAACAGTACATGTTCTGAACAACCGTGTATAGTGACAAAAAGTAAATGTTCTAAACAACAGTGCCGAGTGACAAATAGTACATGTTCTGAACAACAGTGTCGAGTGACATATAGTACATGTTCTAAAAACGATGTCGAGTGACAAACAGTACATGTTCTGAACAACAGTGTCTTGTGACAAATAGTACATGTTCTGAAAGACCGTCCTGTCTTGTAACAAATAGTACATGTTCTAAAAACGATGTCGAGTGACAAACAGTACATGTTCTGAACAACCGTGTATAGTGACAAAAAGTACATGTTCTAAACAACAGTGCCGAGTGACAAACAGTACATGTTCTGAACAACAGTGTCCTGTGACAAACAGTACATGTTCTGAACAACAGTGTCTTGTGACAAATAGTACATGTTCTGAACAACAGTGTCGAGTGACATATAGTACATGTTCTAAAAACAATGTCGAGTGACAAACAGTACATGTTCTGAACAACAGTGTCCTGTGACAAACAGTACATGTTCTGAACAACAGTGTCCTGTGACAAATAGTTCATGTTCTGAACAACAGTGTCCTGTGACAAACAGTACATGTTCTGAACAACAGTGTCTTGTGACAAATAGTTCATGTTCTGAACAACAGTGTCCGGTGACAAACAGTACATGTTCTGAACAACAGTGTCCTGTGACAAACAGTACATGTTCTGAACAACAGTGTCTTGTGACAAATAGTTCATGTTCTGAACAACAGTGTCCTGTGACAAACAGTACATGTTCTGAACAACAGTGTCTTGTGACAAACAGTACATGTTCTGAACAACTGTGTCGAGTGACAAATAGTACATGTTCTGAACAACAGTGCCGAGTGACAAATAGTACATGTTTTTGACAACAGTGTCGAGTGAAAAACAACACTGCCGAACAAAAGTACTAATTGATGAATAGTACATAATCTTGGAAGTTACAAATACCCTTACAACAATCAGTGGATAATTTTGTTCCTATAGGACAAACAGTTGGTATTATATAGTTCAAAATAGCGAACAAGACTTATCAAATTGAATACAAGTGTAGTACGTTATGGACACCGATTTTAAACAGGGATAATATAGTCCCAGAAGCATATATGTTACGTCTGTGTTACTTTTGTATGCTATCAAACAGTTAACAAATTTCATTATGTACTGGTGGAAGCATGTAATGGTTATATTACTGGACAGTAAACGAGGGTCTATTTTATAGTACCGGTAGCATGTATTACGGCTGTTTACTTTAGTACATTGTGTTACAGTAAGCAGGGGTCATTTTATAGTGCCGGTAGATTGTTGGACAGTAAGCGGGGGTCCTTTCTATGATGCCGACAGATTGTTGGACAGTAAGCAGGGGTCGTTTTACAGTGCCAACAGCTTGTTTGACAGCAAGCAGGGGTCGTTTTACAATGCCAACAGATTATTGGACAGTAAGCAGGGGGTCGTTTTTTAGTGTCGGCAGATTATTGGACAGTAAGCAGCGGTTGTTTTATAGTCCCAGTAGATTACTAGTATCCGACAATAAGCAGGGGTCGTTTCATAGTCCCGGCAGATTGTCAAACAGTAAGCAGGGGTTATTTTATAGTTCTGAGGGCACCTTCTGGTGGTCAGCCTTTCTATATTGTTCGACAGGAAGCGGATAAGTACCGGAAGCATGTAACACCTGTGTTACTTCGGTATATTAAATATATGTCGGACAGTAAACATGGGTCATTTTATAGTACCGGAAGCATAATGCAACGACTGAATAACTTTTGTATGACTGTCGAACAGTATATGGTATCGGAAGCATATTGTCGGACCACAAACTAAATATTTTCCAGTTATAAAATCCTGACACTGTCGTTATAAATAAGTATACTTATAATGACTGATTAAAAGTAATACAATTTCATATAAACTTGTAGAAATCTTGTTCATGTTGTTCGACTTACTAAATAGTTGTAATGAGTAAATGGGTTGAATGGCAGCATAGCAGCATATATAAATACCTTGTACGGAGTAAGTGATGGTAAGGAGAAAAAGGTGATGAAAAACGGCATGGGTATATAATACAGTATAAAGAGTATAAGTTGAGGGGGTAAAAAGGATAAGGGGAGAGGCGAACCGGTTTGAAGGAGGAGCCATATTTAAATAGCTGTCACTCACCAGGAGGACTGCACCGGGCTATCTGTATTGGATTTCTGCGATTCCTCAGACATTTTTTTATTGTGAGGTCTTTAAATTTAACTTTCTGTACTAAAAGGGAAACAATTATCACTTTATTCATTAATGACCTCTGTTTTGTGAATTAGTTAGTATATTTGATATCGAACTTAATAGCATTCTATGTGCGAAACGTAGAGGTCATGTACATGTAGATAGTCTTAAAGGGTGCTTAAAGAGTGCATCTTGTTAACAGCCATGAAATTCCAGGTTTAAGTGCAAATCTATTTTGAGAGGAGAAAGATTCAATTGTCATAGTAACAGGTTCATTTTTTCTGATTTGAAGAGAGGTGAATGAAGGGTGTTTAGTTATCTCGACAGGCAGATTTCTAGATAGTGAGTCATATTTCGTGAAGGTTGGATAAAACTGTAATACAAAAAACGGAAGAATGTTTCACTTTAATCTGATACAAGAAACACTTTAAAAAAATAATTATATGTAAGTAAAAAAAAAAATGCTTAGTCGGCACATGCATGGAACGTATTCAAGTTCGTGAGAGGTATCAAATAAAGTTAATTTCTCCTATCTCGACTGTGGTTCGACTTTACGCCCTTGTAAAGCTAGCATGGGGGAAGGCTGTCTTAATTCATATTTAAGCAAGAAGCACAGGGATTTATTTGAAGCTGGGCAGACATGCAGGTGCTTCGACAGGTCCTGTTAGAAAACTCGAAAATGAGGAAAACAGATGGGGCGGCAATGGTCCGTTCGATATTTAAGATATTTTGCAGATGACATTGATGTAGAGTTTTAACAAATGTCTGCTCCATCACAAATTACGTGGATTAAGGAAAAAACTCCCAATCCCAAAGAAATCATTGGACACAATCTACAGGCGCATAAATCTATCAAAAGAAGTATGGACGTAGTGTTGCTCCTATAGAAAACTCAAAATACAGAAGTTACAGAGGGAACCGTCTGGCGTATACTGCTAATTACAGGGAACTATGGAGTCTACTGGTTTGCAGTGATAAGATCTATTAGGGTTAAAGAAACTGACAGATATTAGTAAAGTTTGGTTAAACGTATTAATACTTACGGCTCTCAGATAAAATTATTATCAAATCCACCCCATTTTAAAGATGTTTTTGTGGGAGATCAAAGATATTTGCCAAAATCATCGCCACAGGTGTCCATTGCGCATGTGCAACGAAGAGGATGCAACAGAAGAGATTGATGAACGATAAACATGATACATGCGTACACATCTAAAAATGGATCACCTTTCCACGCCACGCGCTTGAACCAGAAGCATATCTGTAAGTAATTACTTTGTCTGTTACATACATACCTAAAGATCGACAAAGCCATGTGTTCGAATTCATTCCCAGAATCAAAACAGCATTGTTGACCACTCTCTGTAAATTTAATGTTCACGCACTCTGTCAACCACCCTATATCTATCTTGAAAACATGTAATTTCTCTCTTTAGATTATCATGCATAGTAGTATTAAATTTATCTATGTACAGCATCAATGTGTTCCTACATGTACCACGCATAATATTCAAGACGTCATTTAAATAATGTTTGAGAAAATTTAGGGGGGAGGGGACACCCCTGGAAAAATAATACATGTAACAGGCCCGTAGGAAGCAATTTCACTTTGAGGGGCACAACCATACATTTTCAGTTGGGGGCACTATCAACTACCAAAATTCCTTGACAAGCAAAAAAAAAGGTCATCAGACGTTATTATTGAGGGGGCACAAGCATATAGTAGTTATGTTTTCTATAGTATTCTATATATCGGCAAAATTATTGGGGGGGGGCACGCCCCCCCCCCCAGATTCCTACGGCCATGTTGTAATTTAAAAAAACACAGACATTTTCAAATTTTATTCAAATTTAATAAGCTTTAGGTATGAAGAAAGTTTCAATATTACATGTTGGCTTTTATCATAATTTGATTGCATTTTAGGTCACCTGAGTCACTCAATTGACCTATTGCTATCCGTTTTTGTCTGTCGTCGTGCGTTAACATTTGAACATTTTCAGCTTCTTTTCTAAAACCTCTCAACCAATTTTGGCATATAGCATCGACGGTTGAAGGAGAACAAGAATTGTGAACTTCATGGTACCTGCCCCCCTGGGGCCTGAGGGGTGGGGCTAAAACCAACAAAATTAATGCAATCTTTAAAAATCTTCTTTACTCCTAGACATCAAGCAGTCAAACTGTTGGCATGATTGTAATAAGCATTTATTTAAGCCCTCTACCAAAATTGTGAAATTTATGGCCCCAGGGTCAGAGGTTCTGATGCTAGGGTGGGGCTTTATAGATCATATAGTGAAAATCTTCTTCTCTGCTCCTGGGTATATTTAAACAAAGGAGGTGCATGGTTATGATAAGCAAGAATGCCTCTTCCGAAATTGTGAAAGGGTCAGGGGTTCTGGTGAAAGGGTGGGGGCTCTATTGATTATGTAGTGAAAATTCATAATATCTTTCAAAATATTTTTTCACTCCTGGTTATAAAGAAAAGAAACAAGTGTATAGTTATGATGAGCGAGGATGGTTTTACAAAATTTTTAAAACTTTTGATCCCAGGAGTTCTGTTGTTTCTCTGAAGGGGGGGGGGGGGGGCTCTATTGATAATATAGTGAAAATGTGTGAATTCTTCGAAAATCTTCAACTAATTGCATAGTTATGATGATGAGGGTACCTCTTCCAAATCTTAAATTTCAAGACCCTGGGTCATGGGTTCTGGTGTTAGGGTAGGGCTAGTGTTAAATCTATTGTGAAAATGCATTATTTCTTCGAAAATCTTCTCTGCTCCTTGGCATATTGGAGGCAAATAGAGTAAAAGTTTTAATAAGCAAGGCTATTTTTATCAGAATTTTGAACATCTGGACCATTTAGTCAAGTGATCTGGTCTGGCAAGGACTCTATTAATTTGTATTCTACTGAGTGAAGTTATTCCTCCTTGCCATTCACCTTTGATAATTAATCACTGTAGATAATGTATTTGAAAGGTTAATAGAATAAGAGATTTATTTAAGAACATTTATTGTATAATACAAAAAGTACTTTCATAGTTTTAATGATCAGGTAGACTTGGAAATAATAGATCAATAAAAGTGAAACAAAAATAACTTATCTTTTTAAATGTTCTTCAAAGGCCAATCGAGGCCAATGTGAGAGGTAATAATATGAGGTTAAAACATAGATATTTTGTTAAAAGTCTGCATGGTAATAAATGGGGGAAAGATAGATAGATACTAGTGATGCGAAATCGGAATTTTTTACATAATCGATTATTGGAATAATCGGATGCACTATAATCGATAAATAATCGATGGATTTCAAGTATTAAATTTGTTCATTTTTCAATTAAGAATAAATTGGTAAAAATTATGGAGTGATTTCTAAATACTTGATATTTGATATATTTTTGTATCATTGAATTCATTTATTATATTATTATTTAGGATTTAGTTAAATTCAGAGAAGAATGGATGAAAAATCATAGGAATAATTTGCTTTTTAATTAATATTTTGATTAATCGATTATCAAAATTATCATCGATTACCTATAATCGGAGGCCATTTCGATTAGATAATCGATTTAATCGATTAATCGGTATATCACTATTAGATACTACAGGGCTCGAAATAATTGATGGCCCGCTGGTCTGGGACCAGTAAATTTTGAATCTGGGCTAGTACATTGTAGAGTGCATGTGCCCTTTGGGTCAGTGTTTTTTTAATGCATAACAAAATTTATTCATGGTCGGGCTAGTTAACTTGACAGGGTTGTGTGTCCAATTTCTGTCATTAAGTTGTTACTGTGAAGTATCACAATATAAACAAAATATTACTATTATTATTATGGTTTTGGGCCAATCTTTTAAAAATCTACTGGCCCAATGGGACAGTGAAAATACTAAGTTGACCAGTAAAAAATTTAAGTGATAGCCCGAGTGGCCAGTGAAAAAAATGATTATTTCTAGCCCTGTACTAGATCATGCAATTATTTTGGTCTTAATCATACTATTTTTCTTGCTTGTGGGCAACAAAGCTTCATTTACCTCTAAATTGTTGTTCTCAGGTGACCGTTAAGGCCCTTGGGCCTCTTGTTAATATTTGTTTAACTTGTCACAGGAAGTCGTTTCAAAGCGAGATCTAATTATTTATAGCCACCGAACGTTGTCCACGGAAAAGCTAAAGCTTTCAAAATGCAAAATATAACCACATATTAGGACAGGCAAATGAATCAGGATGGAAGTTAGTCGAGTAAGAGTAAACGTTATACTGTGTTTCCTTTCTTTTTTTTCTTTTTACACAATTTAGGTTTGTTTTGGTTGCTATTTGTTGTTTTTATTCATAATTAGAGTTATCTTTCTTTGATTCCAAGTGAAATGGAAGACCCGTGGAAAGACCTGACGGATCCAATTTTATTGACATTTTTCTCCTTTCTAAATGTACAAGAATTAAATAATGCTGCCAGAACTTGCAAGGTAAGATCATTTTTACATTGTGTACACACCAAAGAAAACATGACGATAAATACTATCAGTTGGATCTGTAACTTTCTTGTTCTTATATCACTCTTGTTATGGTCGTGAAAATAGTTTATATGCCAGGCATTTGTTATTCATATAAATATAAAGCAAAGGTACGTCCCTTCTCAAATTTAATCGTTATAATTAGGAGTTGAATGATGTCAGGTCATAAATTTTATTAAAAACTTGATTATTTGTACTGAGGAGTACTTGTATATACATAGTGGTTGACAATTTGCATCTTTATTAATCTTGTTTAGTACTAAGAATGCCTATTTAATAACCAGTTTTGATATAAAAAAAAATCCTAGATCGTTACTGGATTGAAAACTAACTGGAATCATTATTGAACTGGGGGTATTCTTTCTCTCCGTTGGAAATTGAGACGAAAAGTCGTGATATTTATACACGGGGTCATTTTTTTCTTGGAACTTATGACCCCAACAAATTGACCCTGTTGTGTATTGATCCTAACTTCAGTTTTAACCTGTGTTCAGTCTGGAGGTTGATACAGAAGGGTCCCCGAGAGGCATGTAAAATAATGCATAGCAAAGAGATTTGTATATAAAGCAGAAGGATTCAATGTACGATGCTTCACATAAAAAAAATCTTTTCTGGTCTGGCGATGAATTTATGTTACATGCATTTAGTACTAATTATTTATTTCTCATACTTCGTTCTACTTCCTGTCTTCCTGTCATGATCAAGGCACGAAGTATGTAGTCTAGAGATGAACATGAAATTCAGGGAAATGTAGCTAATGATACTAGTATATAGTCCTACAATTTAAAAAAACTTGTCGGCTTGCACTGTCTTAGGACTGAGAAAAGTTTTGATTTCGAAATCACCATGATCGCACAAGATGTACGTCGAATATGTTTGGATCAATTTCTGAAGTAATAATAATCATTCCAGGAATGTCTTAATATGCTTATTTATTTATTTTATACATTTGACAAATATGGTTTCTCCAAATATCTGTTTTTCTCGTCTCCATAGTTATCTACAAGGGATCCATCCAGCATGTCTTTTTCAAATTATTTAAAGTATTGTCAGACAGAAAAATGTTCATATTAATCTCAGGGTTAGAAACTCCCTAAAATTACAACTCGCAAATAATTGCGAGTACCAAGAAAGTGAACTCGGAATTTTATAAGACTACTCGCAATTTTCATATAAAGTTAAATTTATATAAATTAAATACATGTAACTTAAGGAAAAAGTAACTACTGTACAATACACAAAATACAACTACAGTGTGACTTTTAGTTAAATTACTGATTTAAATCAAAAGCATTGTGTTCTGTCATATTATATAATTCTGCTACAGTATCAATGCAAAAAAATCAACTCGCAAGTTTTTGCGAGTTACCTAATTTTTAACTCGCAATTTGGGAATTCTAACTCGCGTTTTGCGAGTTCTATATAGTGAATTTCGAACCCTGAATCTAAAGAAAATAATTAAGCAAAATACATGTATAAATCCAAAAGTATATAATTTTTAAACAAATAAATGATAATTGTGAACATCAATTCATTATGATTTGTTTTAATGCTGTTGAATTTAGATCCCGTTTGATGATCGAAATTCCACGATACGTCTCAATTTTCAACGGGCTAGGGTCTAAATTCCACATCGTTGGTCTCGGTATTCAATTTTGAAAAAATGAATTATCGGGTCAAAATTTTTCGTTAATTTTTCGTTATGCGTTTTTGTTTTAGAATTGGTATCGAGTTGCTCATGATGAAAGTTTGTGGAAAAATCTGACTTTCAAAAGACTTGGACGTCAGTACCTGCGCAAGGAAGATAGTTGGAAGTTGGAGCTAAAACGTCTAACTTGTCACGTTCCAGTGCATCTGCACCAAACATGCACAGGTCACGTGGACGAGGTCTACAACGTCTGCTTTTCAAACAGTGGATGTCTTATTGCTACATGTGGTGCAGACGGTATTGTAAATGTAAGTGTAGGCGTTCTGCTGTCTTTATTTGTAATTTAAACTTAAATCTTTTATATTTTTCAGTTTCATTAATAAAAGTATTTAATTAGCGATTACTTGATCGAGATCGAGGCTTTGGTTTCAATATCTCAGCTTTTTTAATCGCGATATTTTGCAGATTTGGAAATATGGGATTGATACAGTATTGCTTCACTCTAAGAAAATTACAAATGAAGATGGTTATGTGAATTACGTTGAGTTTAACGATGCAGAAACACATCTTCTTGTCCACTCTACCGGCAGAAACATCGACTTTCAAAGTGCTGTAGCTGTGCTTTCCATCGAAAGGGGTAAAACAGTATGTCTTATAGTCTCAGTTATTATGTTTTTGAAAATTTTTATTACCAATTATGATGTAGTGTAGGGGGTTCAACATTTCACCTTGCTCATTGTATGTCAGGGGCATTATTTCACTACCGGAGACCAATAGTTTCATCATTGATATTGAGATAAACCAAGAAAAGAATATCGGTGCATGTAATACTCTGTACCATAACTAGGGCTGTGTCAATATATCGAATATTCAATACGTATCGATATTCAGGAATGTATCGTATCGAAAAAATAACTTCCAATACGTATCGCACAGGCAGTTTTCCTTATAATTCTATAAAAAAAAGTTGGGAATTTCAGTTACCTAATATTATTTTTAACTGTTTTGAATTAAAACCGGTCAATAATGAAATAAACATTAAGGAGATAGCACATCTGAAATAACTATTACAAAATACGCAGATAACTATATTTTAACATGTTAATTTAGACTCACCCAGTTTTTATCAAATTTATGCATTAAATGTCATTTACAAGACATTTTTGAAAGACTTAATAAATAATCCAATATATCGCCTATCGCTTTATAAAATATCATATCGTATCGAAATATTTTGCTCAATACACAGCCCTAACCATAACATCGTAAGAGTATCCGTCTTCGCTAGCCAAGTGCCCAATTCGTATATCCCCTGACATTGGCTAGCGAAGGCGAATAGTATCGTTACAGGCAATACTCTATACAATAACATCTTAAAAATATTGGTACATCCAATACTACCTACCGAAACTTAAGGTGTACTGTTCAACAATATATTAGAGAAGTGGTGGTTATCAGATGTGGATCCAAAGAACGTTTAGAAAATTTGAAATCACAAAATTTTACCAAAATTCATAGCACCAAAACGTACGACTTTTCAACACTTTATGCAACTATTCCCCACGATAAATTAAAAACCAGACTTTCGACATCATAGAAAACTGCTTCTTAAATAAAAATGGAACTCGTAAATTCACAAACCTTGTCATTGGTTTTCTGCAAACTTATTTTGTTTAAAAAACATTCTGATTCTACTCGAAAGTATTCACGAGGTATATATTAAAAAGATGCTCGAGTTTCTCATTGATTCGACACGCAAGAGCATGCTCTATGTAAGAACAATTTCTAAAAACGAGGCAGACTATTGACAAGCAAGTTGATGACACAAGGGTGTCAATAATGTTTAAAGTCAACATTTTGCAAATTTTATGGTCAATACAATGATCTTGTTTGCAAATATCATCTTTCATTAAGTCAAATGTTGACTGTCGTCTTTAATACAAATTGTTAGGCCATTATTTTTACACATTTTTCTGTTTATTCGATCATGACAAGACGCACACTGCGGGTGTGGCCGGTCGAGAGGAGATACTTACTGTTCCATGGCACCTGATCCTAACTCTATTTTCAGAGGGCCGTGTTTGCTATAATTTGTATTGTGTATATGGACTTTCGAGAATCCCTGTTCGTTATTTTCACATTTCATCAAAAGAGTATTGGTATATGCAATGCTCTGATTCATAATATCGTAAGAATGTCGGTACATTCAACACTCTTAACCATATCATCATAAGAACATCGGTACACCCAATAATTTAAACCATAGCATCATAAGAATATCAGAATATGTAATACTCCATACCATAACATCATAAGAATATCAGAATATGCAATACTCCATACCTTAACATCATAAGAATATCAGAATATGTAATACTCCATACCTTAACATCATAAGAATATCGGTACATCCAATGCTCCGAATTATATCTCGTAAATATATCGTGTAAATTTTGCATTTACTTTATCTAGTAAATTCAAAATTTATACCATGATTAATATAAAATTGCCGGTTCAGCTAATACTCAAAAGCAAAACTATCAAATGAATATCGGTTCGTCCCTTGCTTCATACCATAAATATCACTGGAATACCGATACATTCAGTACTCTAAAACATCATTATAACAATATCGGTACACATCAGTAGTATAATATTTATATGTTTGCCTCTTTTCCCTTTAGAAGCGATGTATATCGTGGCAGCCAGATATTCCGGAGTACGTCATTTCAGAGGAACTTGGCTGAACAATGAGACATTCTTGAATGTATATAAATCCGATCTTTTCCCTCCGTATGATGTGGAATTAATCGCTTGCAAGGTGAGACTTTTTTTGCACTGTAACTGTTGTTTAAGTGCATGGGATTCATTTTTGAATGAATTCATGTTCACGAAGGATGACATTTTCAAACTTTTTAATATGGCATTCCATTTAAGTTTTACGAAGGCATCTTGGATGAAGATGACTGTCTCTCATCGGATCTCCGTATCCCGGACTATTTCTCAAAACAAAATGTAGATACTAAAAAACTTTTGAAAATGGAGCAAGTGGGGATCGATCCTGATTTTGTTAAAGTCATAGATTGGTCAGAGTGGAATCAGGGTTTTTCAAATGAACCAAAAGCCAGCTCTACCACAGACGTGAAGGTTATAGCGCTCTACATACAGAGACTATATCAATCTGGTGGAAATGGAGCAGTCTTCTATAAAGTTAGCTTAGATTCGTTAGAAACCTTGCTGATGGAGCCAATCAAAACTGTTTTAACAAATAGTGCGTGTCTAGGAGTTCAGCTGTCAGCTAATCACAGGTAACTACATGTTATGACATACTGAGTAAGTGTGGTTTTTTTTAAATATAGGGCTCTATTTCGAACTTATTTTTTAAAATATAGGGCTCTATTTCGAACTTATTGATAAAATCAAATGTGCCTCTTATCCATCACTCACGTTCAAACATTTTGGATATAAAATTATTTGTAGGAGGAATTCTTCGAAATATTAATTAAATGAGATTTTTCTTAGAAGTATAAGTTATAATTAAGGTTTTGGAAATGCTATCGGGTAATCATCTTTGGTCAATCCTAATTTTGTCAAAGTTATACTAAGTTGTCTATAATGTAATTCAAAATTAAAACATTCAAAGTTATGTGGCTTCATCAATGTTGAAAGGTATGTGGTATACAATTTGAGACGACTTTCAACTGATGGAAGCTATGTCACACACGAGAAGGATGTCGTTACCATGGTTATCAGCCTGGAAAACACCGAAGAACAGCCGGACCTATTTTGTGACCCCAAACCTGCAGACGATTCATTAACAATATCTTACTTCTTTCCTAGTGTGTCTGATGACCTCGTTGCAAAGTATTAATTTTACAGTCATTGGTTAAAGCCTATAGTATACATTGATAAAATTCATATTGCAATCTTATGTTTACAATTGTTTGTATGATTTTATGTTTTCATGTTATTTTGTTTCCTTCTCAGTGAATCCGAGCCGGATGTTGTTTTCTTATGGGATCGTCACTCGCATGAAATCGTTTCCAGGTTATACCATCACACTGGTGTGAGTGCTGTTGCCTTCCACCCACGTGACCAGGAAGTCTTAGCTAGTGTTGCAGACGATAAAAAACTCAGAATATGGATGTCAACAAATAGAAAACGAAACAACAGAATTGATTAATTTCTGAAATATAATGAGTCATAACGTCATCGGATTCATTTTTATAGATGGTTTGAAGCCCCGGTGTAACGTTGAATTTTGACCCGTGTTGAAAACTGACCCGGGGGGTCTTTTTCCAACGTTGAATATTGAGACCATCAGCGTTGAATTCAGACCCAACGATCCGGCTGAAAATTCAGCCGGATCGTTGAAATTTGATCATAAAACCGGGTCAAAATTCAACAGCATAAAAACACATATAAATTAAATTGACGTTTACAGCTATGATTAATTGATTCAAAAATTACTCATATATATAACGTATGTATATATTTAAATTCCACCATGTCCGTAGGAACCAAGTGAAGGGGGGGGGGGGGCGCGGGGTGACTGTTTCCTTCAATACATACGAATAGGAAACAGAGCTAAAGAACGCCACTCTGTTGACCTATCTTTGGTCTTTTTGCTTGTCAACGAACTCTTGTTTAATTGCAGTCCCAACTCCCCACCCACCCCCAAAAACAAACTTAAACTGAATTTTCTTTCTACTAAGCTGTTCACTGAATATATTTTCATTCTTGAGATTAACATAAAAACTGATACATGTTCAGTTCGAAATGGTCAATTCATACTAAACAAGTAGCACTTAAGAAAGGAAGGTTTCGAATTTTCTAAAGATCTATGGCAAAATCATTTTATTTTATTTCATTTCTAATCCGCAAAAAAGAAAGCTTTAATTAATATGCAATCAATATTGTACCATTTTTCACTTATATATAGCGAACGTTTCACATACATGTATATTCACCATAGACAATACTAGTATTTTTATATACCAGTGAAAGGGCAATCTACAAAACTTAACAAAAAAGGGGAAATATAATCAGATTCGTACTTAGTGGATACTATACCCAGCCTGAGAATTGAGAGCTACTTTAATTTTACACCACAGCTTTAGCCCTTGTATGTTATTAAGACTCCCCATACCTAATGCACCCCACAGTTAAAAAACATGACACCTAATTTGGTATGGTTATTCAATAATTTCAACCCTTTTTCGTTTACTTTTCATTAATTCATTATACAAAAATTTTTGATGTCCTACGACTATCAAAATACATGAAATGAAATCAGAAATGACAAGGGCATACGGTCTAGTTAAAATACTACTAGTGTATATCTGATATTTGGTAATCTTTCTCTATGAATTGAAATAATTGAAAAAGAAGTAGCCCTTTTCACGATAGTTTATAGGTTGAGGCACAGGTTAGATCAACCGACTGAATTTTCTTTACAAAATATACCGGTATACGTAATTTTCAACCAAAATGAAAAAAAAAAGGTGGAAATAACAGTGAATGACCTCAAAATTATCAAAAAAATACAAATTTGTGAACAAGACATAAAACACAGACCCCTGGAAACTCAGAATCAGATGCCTATGAGTAGTAAGCATTCCCTGTCGATCAGTCACACCCGCCACGAGCTCTATGTATTGATCCGGTAGACGGAGTATTTTAGTACTAAACAATAGCCTAACAATGGGTATGAAAAAATGCAAGCAATAATATAACCTAATGATAGATTGTATTTGCAAACTATGACATTATAACGCCCATATAAAATTTGCGAATTCTGACTTTAATCGAGGTTGTTGAAATTCATGGAAGATCTACTTATTTGCCAGTACCCTTCCTCTCAGAGCATGCTGTTGCGTATCGAATACATTTGGATACATAAACACATTAAGAAGGTGATAGTGGAATGATAGTAAATAAATAAGAAATGTTGATTTTTCAACACTTTTAACAACCAGTCCCCATGATAGATAAAAAATCCAGACTATTTGACATCATAGACAACTGCTTCTTTAATAAGAGTGAAGCAAGCAAATGTTCTCATTTTCATCTACAAACTTGCTTTTATTGGGTTTGTGTCTGCCTGGTGATTCGATACACAAGAGCATGTTATATGTACGAACAAATAAGTTGATGATATAAGGGTATCAATGATCTCATGTGCAGTCAACATTTTGCAAATTCTATGGTCGATACAATGACTGTTTACAAAATCATTCTGTCGTTAGGTCGGTTGACTAACGTCTTTCATACAAATTGATGGGCCATTTTTTCATACTGAATTGGCTGCGTATTTCTCTATTTACATGATCATGACAAAGGACACATTGCGGGTGTGATATCTTGACAGGGAAAGCTTACTCCTTCATGGCATCTGATCCCACCTCTGATGTTGTAATAGTTTGCTGACAATGTGTATTGTTTTATTAAATCCTTCAACATGATTACTGTTCGTTGTCTTCAATTTTCATGGAAAAGTTGACGTCATCTGTTTGTCATACAGTTTAGTTGTTAGTTGGCCATTATCGTCTCGGTAAAGCACCCAAATATGAAACAGATGTTGTGGACTCTGTGTTGTCTTTTATTTCGAATTCACTGTGATATATCGAGTCAACATACGAATGAAAGTAATTATTGTAAATTGATAAAACGTCATCGATATATCCCTGTGAAAGCCCACAGCAGGATTTTTCTTGTTCTCATGTAGTAGTATTCGAATAGTTTGCTTCTTAGGATTATAAAAACATACAGGTCTGCTAATGAAGGAGGATATTATGTCCCATCAAAATTCTAACGGCTAAAGACTACATAGATCTTGTGAAAGAGGAACTACGGCATATTTCTAAGAATTATCTCGGCGTACTTGTTTGTAGAAGCAGACTGTTTTTTTTTTAAAGAAATTAATTGTATAATGAATAGTCACAAGACAAGAAATTTCCCAAGTTCCATTTCTTTGGAGAAGGTGTTCTATGATATCAAAACACCTAATCTTTATTTATTGTAAGGAATGGCTATATAAAGTGTTGTAAAATTATGCATTTTTATGTTATTGACTTTGAAAAAAGTGATTTTAAATGTTTCAAAAATGCAAGAGTTCATCAGAGATTTTAAAATCCATAATTTAAATGATTTACACAATTTTATGAATAGGTTGAAGCATATAGTGCGTCTTAAGTTTCTCCTTCACAGCAGTAAAATATTTTTGTGAGAAGTAAAAATAGGGGATTGGTAGAGAATTTGCTGAATCTGCATGTATCTTTGTAAGGACTTTCCTGAAGTTTAAGAATCCAACAGAAATAGAATAAATTCAATTCTCTTTCGTTGACTGAAAATGTAAAGACCATTTAAAGACTGAAACGTGATTTTGAGGAATTCCAACCTTATAGAGTAAGCCTTTGAGAATAAGTTGGACTTCTGGAAAAAAAAAAATAAATACGAGTTCTTCTAGCAGATCGCTTATTAGATGTCCTTGAAATGTGTAGGTTAATCAAAGTTGTGCATGGATATGAATTCTCCTATTTTACAGATCTATATCGCAATCAATTTATTAAAATTTTGGTATCAAATACATACATGTAAATATTTTAAAACTCTCTCTCTCTCTCTTTTTGGTACAATTTTGCTGTTCTATTGTCGATATACATGTGTATTGTAGATTTTGAATTTACCGGGTGGCAGTAAATACAAAATTTACAACAGGACAACTACGTCATGTTGAAATTTTGTATGTACTGCCATCCGGTAAATTCCATATTTACAACATGACAGTATATACAGCTGTAAAATCGATACAGAAAAAAATCTACCACATCTTGTCCCAAATTTGAAAAAAAATAAACTCGTGCATTTTTATCCTAGGCGGCAGTTAATAATGAGTTGTATATCATAATAGACACCTGAAAGAGGGTAGGGGGGGATAAAAGGGTCCTTTAGTTGGTCATTCTAGTACAATGCGTAGTTCTTCTTTAATAACATATGTCAAAGACAACAATGAAAATAAGATAAAAGGTGTATTGAACAACAACTGTATTTTCGGGATGATTTCAGTCCGATCTTATTATTATGCTAGAAAAAATTCAAATTATAAAATTGATAAATATATTAGTAGTTACACGTACATATAAATCGTGTTTAACAACTTCCAGATCGAACATAGGGCAAAACGCTGTAGTCGGGGGTCAATATTCAACAAGGTCAATTTTCAATGCGTTTATGTCATAAGTGCCAAAAAAAATAAATTACCAAGATGTTGGAAAATGATTTCGGGTGTAAATTCCACGACTTTTCGTCTCAATTTTCAACGGAGAAAAAGCACCCCCGACTCAATATTCAACGTTGAAAAATGAACCCCGGGTCAATTTTCAACCCGAGTCAATATCCTACGTTACACCGGCCGCGACTGAAAATAGGCATTCGGCAAACCTCGGCTGATTCCGTCACCTTCAGAGGTACGAATCGGCCGAGGTGTGCCGAGTGAAAAAATAGGTAGCATCTGTTCCTTTGCCAAGCGCTCTCGATTTGAAGTGAAAGTTGCAGGTCCTTCGGATAAAAGCTTTTAAAAAATGCCCCGTGTCACGACAGGCGTTAATTGGCACGATAAATATCCCTCACTGCTCAATGGTCCTGAGTGCCAAGTAAAGTCTAAATTTGAAACCCTTCACTGGTATATGTTGACATCTCTATATGAGTGAAAAATTCTCGAAGGGGACGTAAAATAACAATCAATCAATCTATATGGTTTGATACCAAGGGACATTTATTTCGTGTTTGTTGTGCCACCTAAAAATCTTTTGTCCACGATTAACAAGATTTTTGACTCGTGTAGGTCCATATTTTATAAGTACATCAAATGCGGGATAATGCCATAGAAACTAATGATTATTTTGTAAATTACAGTTATTGTTCTTTTATTGTTTGGAAACTATCGATCAAATTAACGACTAAGTTTCTCCACGTCTTCGCTAGCCATAGGGAGAGGAGCGGATCACAAAAACCCTCGCTAGCGAAGATGGTACATCAACTCTACTTATATACAAATGTAAAAAAAAAAAATAATTGTAAATACATTCAAATGATGAATTTACCTATCATACAATTAAAATAGATCTGTTTCGTGCTCTTGATCAGTTCCTGACCAGTTCAGCAATGGCCCATTACTTAAAAAGACGACGTTCCATTTCATCTTTTTTTTT